CATAAAATTATAGACCACATTTCAACAATGTTATACCCTCTACTATATTCTACAATTAAATACTCAACAGTATTTCAAACCATAAAACAACATAAACTTCCTTACAGGACTTTACAACGGTACGCATTATCTCTCGACGGTATACATATACAGTCTATATACTTGTCTAATACTCTATTATTATATCCTCTTATCCCTCTATATCTATAATATTATATCCTCTATTACATCCTATAATAGAACACTTAACAGTACTTCAGACCATAAAACGTCATAAAACGCCTCACAGAATTTCACAACGGTGCACATTATACCATCAACTGCTCTACAATGTACGTTCCACAGTATTATTCCATCCAGTCTTCATCGAACAGTAAAATAACAGACAAACGCCCCGAAGGATATCTCATTCTTCTCGGCACGGTGAAAAGGCATTTCTTCTCGAGACGGGAGGCGCTTCTAAAGTCACGAAATTTGTCGTACGTTCCACGGCAGCCGCGGGAGAGATTATTGCGGGGGCAGAGTGTTAACCGCAGTTTTGCATCGAAATAAGGTGTCCGAGTTTAAATTAGGATCTCCTCCGGCCACCCCACGGTTCTTCTCGGCTTTTCCTATATTCCTCGCGGTCGGGACTCGCCGGCCCATAAATAAGCACGATCTTAACTACGATATAGACAAGGATATATCAGTGTCAAGAAGACGGTCCGCTTTAAATGCAAATGACGCTGGATACCGCACCTTCCACCCCCCTGCCGTACCCCTTCGCCAACCCTTTTGATATCGATTCGAGTAAACTCGCATTAATTCTTAATTATCGTCCTCACCAGCCGCAGTCTCAGCCCTGAATCCCAAGAACTTTTCCGCGCATAGTTTGGCGAACAGGAATTGAGGGGGTGGGTGTCTGGCAATCCCTGATCCACCCTCGTCACTTCCAGAACCCTTCGATCTCAGCGTGATTTTCCGCTTCATCGGAACGTAGTATACAAAGACAGTATAAAATATTATTTCAATATTTTGGTGTACGATTCTTTAATACCATTTTATTGAAAATTATGTTTCGTCTTTCTACGTAGTGATGATAACAGTGTTTCGTTGGAATTTAGAGGTTGTCGAAATGGTTGGGGTATACTTTGCCACGGAATGCTTTCGCTTGTATCGCAATTTGCATTCACCGCCGTGGTGACCACGTGTCCGGCGGCTAACTTATCCTGTAAATGCATGAAATCAGCGCAGTGTGGTAACGGGAGACCAGTTCTATCTTGTATTCCATAGCAAAAGTTTCATCCGCACCGTGAGGATCAAATGAAATTCAAACCCACGGAATTGAAACAAGAGATTGTCTCGGTTTGGCGCACTCGAGTCACACTGTAACTATCCAAAGTACAGACACACACACACCCAAACACACACATCCTGGGCTGAGCGTATAATCGTCTTACAGTAAACTACGTGTCTGACCACATGCGCCCGTGAACTACTTAACCGTATACCCAGGGCAAACGTGGTAATGCAATCCAGTAGCGATACCGCTGTGTAACTGTTCGTTCGGTACTTATCGTCCAATGATAATCTATTCGTAGATTCCTATACATTTCAAACAATATAAATGAAAAATAAGTGAACAATTCTATACCTGAATTCTCTTATCACAAACGGCCGCGTAAATAATATCAAGTAGAATAAGATTCTTGTGGCCAGACAATAAAAACAGTAGGTCGTTTATGGTTCGATAAATGGTACCAAAACAAAAACCAACGAATCTCCAATATTCCGTGGAAATAAAGATTCCTCTTCAGCCACCGTTCGCCTCGAACCGAGCAACAGAATGTCTCGGAAACGTTTTGATTTATTTAGCTACTTCGAGACGGAATAAAACGATTGCGAAATTCTCCTGCGTCTAAGATATTCGGTAACAGGAATCCCTCGCGGTCGATTCGAACGCTTTGATGTCAAGCGGGACTCGCGATAGCTTATTTGAAATTTACGGTATTGGCTTTGGCCCGGTACCGTTTGACCAATAATAAGCGGCGGATGATTTGATCAGGCGTGTTCGGATGCAGCTCAAAGCCTCCTCGGTGCATATATTTGCAGGGTAAATTGCGTGTAGCCTCGGTATTCCTTATTAATGCGGCTCTGTTGCTTACCTATATCCGATCGGACCTCAGACGGAATCGAAAGTATTACCTAACTGTAATCATGGACCGTCTTCGATCCCGATCACGCTAACACGTTGAATACCACAGTTTCGGGACAGTAGAGCGATAAGTTACATTTGTTTAGCCCTTTTTCATTGGTAATTCACGCGACGACTTGAACATTCTTTACGTGAAAAATTTTCATCGTAGGAGGAGCCTCGATTTAATGAAATTCTCGGTTCAAATTGAAATCTTGAAACGTGAATTTCTCACGAAAGCAGTACACATCGGTGTTTAAATGTCGATCGTAACGTTTTCGCGTTACGACGCCGTTCACCGAGAGGTGAAATAAAAGTTACCATCTTTTATACCCGGCGACGCGTTACGCACCCCTCGATGACCCGTAACGCGAGTATTTCGTCACGGTTTATTAGTGTTTCTCCTTTTAAATACGATGATACGTTTTTTATTTGCGCCCCGTAAAACCGGACCTTCGTTCAACAGCGGACCAGTCGTTCGAAGCGACGCGGCTCTCGTTCGCGTTATACCGGCAACATAAAACAAAAAAAAAAGGGCTAAAAAAGGAACAGATTGCGGGGTAGAACGGGCGGAAAAATATCGCGTCCAATTTATCCGCGTACATTTTCAACACTCCGTTATATTTACGCAACGGGTTTACTCGTTTTATACGCGCCTCGTTCGTGACGCGCTGGTCGATTCCAGGGCGGTTCGATAATTCATTCTCCGCTTAATCTCGTCCGATGAACGTTGTACGCGTGATGTCTGAATGTAGAAACGTATTTAGAACCGAGCGAACGACCACGTAAAATCGTCCCCTGTAATTGGAATGTTGTTGGGGGAATTTAGGTCCGTGAATGGAAGAACGTGATTAGGAAGGCTGAGGTACCTTGGTAGATTCTTGATTAAACATCCCCGTGAGTAAATCCATTTGTAAATCATTACAGTTCAGAAAATATTTACTACAAAAAGGATCACTTTCCGTGATCTCTTTTCGCTAAGTAGAATATCCCCGTCTCTGGTCAGCCAACTTATATACATCGAGGACAAACATTTAAAAAGAACCTATAACGATGTCCAAAAAATATTTCACCCCACACTACTGTTTATTAAGTAGAATATCCCCGCCCCTGATCAACCGACTTACATGCATCAAAGACAAACATTCAGAAAAAAATCCAAAGTAATGTCCATGATCCACTACATCGAATTCAGTAGAATATCCCTATCCCTGGTCAGCCACCTGTATACGTCACCCTAACAGGTATCACAACGAAAATAGAGTAGCAATTTAGGGATTCCATGAATAGAGAGGGACTGTAATACACACAGTAGCGACGTAGCTACGAAGACGCAGGGGATTATAAAGGGTTAAACGTCACTGGGTACAGGCGGCTCTTTTCTTGCCAGGACGGAAACTTAGTTTATAAACTGCGGCTACGATTAACTCGCGCTATCAACGCGACGGGTGAGAGTCGAGCCGAGCTGGCGCGGCAAGGGGATGGAAAACGAGGAGCAGCGGTAACTTCTCGGTCCTAATGCTGGCATTGCATCCCCCACGGCTCTATTCGGCTGGTCTCCGCAACTTGGTAATTGGAAATAAAACCTTCGGTCTCGTGGGCGCCCCTTTACGCGAGATACACTGGCGGAGGAATCGTTTATAGGGGATGGACCCGTAGACGTTACACGTCGAACGTCCTCCATGCCCGTTACTCTTTTTCTTTTTTTCTTCGCTCTTTCACGATCCTCCCGCACACACGTTGGTTTATCAGGGATGAGAAAAAACGGGGATCGTTCGCGGTAATCGGTGAACTTCGAACCCCGAAACCGAGACGGAATTTATAGAAACGACTCTTGCATCAGGGGATGAACTTTCGGGTTGCTTTGAACTAAACTTACCTCGGGCCAGACGGTAAACTTGTTAAGGAGGGGGCAGACTTGGTTACCAGCTGGTTTAGTCTCGCGAACGATTCGAGTATACTCTATGGACGATTCGGAAACTTGGGATACCTTCGAAATACAATAATAAATGTCACGATCCCACTGTCTGTCAGGAATTCAGTGTTCGTTCATGAGGAAATTGGAAGTCTATTCGAACAGATCATGGTTGGCTTTTAACCTTATTCGCCGGTTTTAACACTTTCGAGACGTATTCTTTTTTTAACGTTGAATTCAATAATACAGTAGTATGGACTGTAATACACTCAAATATAAAGAAAACAGTCGTTAAGGACAGTTTTGTCATAACTCTTAAATCACACTAAAATTTTCAGTCCTTATCTATTGTGGTTAAAATAAAAACGTACCACTTTTTTCAAGAGAACATAATCTACTCTTTTCTAGAGAAATATTATTTCTCCACACGATTTCAGACATGGCATACTTGGTTCGTTTTTATTTTAACCACAATACATCAGAGTAGAAAATTTTAAATTCTTCATAAAGTAATCAATTACTTTGATCTATTAGTACGCCTGATACTGATTGAAAAAATTGCTCCTACGTCCGTGTCTTTATACGTTTATTACCAAAGTTCTTAACATTCTCCTACAATTCGTATTCATCGATTTCGACACCAGTACAAATTACCACGAATCATCTTAACACAGTCTGTGTAACACTTAGCTACATTAATATACATTAAGAAGCCACGGGAGTCCCACTCGTTCGCTTTACCAAGGCGCTGTAACGCCTCTGATCCTCGACACGGAGCGTCCGACAATAACTCCGGGCAAAACAACCGTAGCAAACTTTCCACAAAGACTCGAAAGAAATCCTCGCAATAAATGATACTCGCCGTGCAGTAAAGCCCTTAATCACGCCCCCGCAAAGACCGTGGCCTGTTTTTCAGTCTCGCGACTTCTTTCGCTCGCGACTCCTCGCGACGTTGGCCACCGACTCGAACTGAACTTTCGCCTGCAGATTCCTCGTGTGAAACTTCTGCAGTATCATCGGCCCGTAAAACTTCTCCGGTTCGTCGACCCTTCTGTGAACTAATGCCTCCGTGACCGTCAACAAAAGACAGTTCCACGGTGACCATTCGACGTCCCTGTGGAACCTCACAAATCTCAGCTCGGACAGACGATCGTTCTCGGAGATCGCCGATTTCCCGTGCCAGATGTCGTTCACCAGATGGTAAATGATCCTCGAGTCGATAACAAAAGCGATGCTACTGTAACAACGCATCCTAGCCTCGCTGCGCCTGACATCGCGAAGCAAACACTCGTAGGGTCCATAGACGACTCTGGGCACAGTTCTTGCCTGAACGTACAAACAATAATTGCAGGAAGAGGATCGACGTATTTTCCCTTCAGGAAACTTTTCTATTGGCAGCAACCTACCACAGCTTCTGCAAATCTTTCTACTGCGTGGATACCAGCTGATTACGCTGACATCCTCAAACTCCGTAGCCAATGCGTCTCGGACGAACATCAAAAAGGCTAACCTGAGTCTACTTCTCAACCAGTTCAATTTACATTCATCCACATCCCTGGCTAAAAGATCGATCTCCTGATCCACCAACTGTACCACACTATCAGAAACCTTACATGTGTGTAGCTCGATGTCCCTTCGAAGTTGACACAGCACCTCCACTCGTTCCTCCGTGGATTGATCATCTCTGGACAATAGGTTGAACCTGTCTCTGAAGCTTCTGGCGCGACGAGCACGTGGAGTGTCGACGAGGATCGGTTCACCGCGACGATTCCTCCAAACGACCGGTCTGGACAGATCGTCGAGGAACTTTCTGTAGGATCGTTCCCGCCGGGACGTCTTCACGGACGTTTTCAACGAGTCTATGGCTCGCAGCAGTTCGACTTCCTTCGACAGTATTAGACCGGTGAACTGTGCGGTGGTCCTGGAGGGCTCCGAGACCGGAACACTCGCTGCGGTCTCTGTCTCGCGGACTCGCCAACGGTCAAGGAGATTGTAGAGCAACTCGAAGTCCGTTCGCGTTCTCGGGGATGTGCGGTTTAGTATCACGAAATCCCGGCTGCGATAGGACTGGGGTATTCGCTGGTCGTCCGTGTCCTTAGTGCCTGACGGGACCGTGGATGGCTGGGTGGTAGCGGTTCGACCGCCGCGGTGAGCTCTGCGGGCAGCGACCAACGAACGGTTAGAATATACGTGCTCTATGGTAGATTTTCTTCGGTGGGAAGTTTATGGATCGAATTTGTATATATATATTGGGTGAGCTTGTAGGTTCACTCTGGGGGAATGTATTGATTTATTGAATTGGATAGATTGCTGGTTTACTTGTAAAAATGAGGATTCGTCAGAAAATAGCATAGAGTAGCGGATAAAAACGTTACCACTTGTTCGATTTGTTATATTTTTTCATTATTTTCTAACGTCGACTTAAAACTTTAGTGAGTCGATAAGAAGCACTGTGTAAATTACAGATTGAAGTCATCGGATGGATGTAATTTAATTTTTTTTTTACATATCAGGGGGCCTTGAATTTTTTCAAGGTCAATGCATCTTTTTTTTAGTATCACGTTGTTGGCAATGGGAGGACGAATTCAGCCACCTATAACATGGTGGTGTAAGAAAAAGATGCATGGACCTTGAAATAAATACAAGGTCACCCTGATATCTAAAAAAAAATAAGAGATAAATAAATCAAATCATATCCACCCGGTACGTCTCTTAAAATGTTACATAATTCATTAAAACGTTTTTTGACACAAACGTTTAACGGTAACGAGTTATTTTAGATAGTAGTTCTTATTAACTCACCCTGTATATTCTGATGAAGAATTAGAAAAACCCAGTATTTTATGGTTTTAGTGCTGGCTGCAGTGATTAAGTTAATAAAAGTAAAAGAAATCAGAAAAATGGTAACTTTTTTATCAGCTACTGTATACTGTTGGAATATCTCCTAAGGATCAGACAATATGAAATAAAATGTTCTTACAGAATTTATTTAGTATAGAGGGGAACATTATGTAAAATAAACAATTTTTTTGCGGATATGATAATAGGGGAGATTTCAAGGTCAACTTAATGAGAAGAGCAATGATCAACATTTCTTTTACCGTTCATTTCAATTAATTAATGTTTCGCAATTGGAGACGCTTCGGAACAGCACAAACGACATCGCCCGGGAACACTTTACCGAAGAACCGAGGGATGAGGGCAAGCCTTACCCGTAACGGCGTTGCTATGATTACGCGAAGCTTCGAAATTACTCTCTGTAATTACACAAATATTTCCGGACGGGACGAATCCACGAAAACAAGATAGTCGACTAATTAAACATAATTCTCCGGAGTGTTCCCGTTTCTTATTCGACCCGGTGCATATTCAACGGAATATCCAAACCGTACCTCGGGAAATCAGCCGAAAGATCTGAAAAATGGCACGGCCCCTCAAGACAGCTCGGAGTTCGGGGGGGGGCTTCGCTCTCGAGGATCCTCTGGTCCTTCGAGGAGTCCTTACAGCTCGAGTCCAAAGACGAAGTACCATTCCGTACTATCGTGTCACTAGCGTCGTCAATGAAGCTGGCCTGCATCCCGACGTGACGTTGCGTGGCAGTGCATTTATCGACGAGGAACTCGGTCTGCAAGATCCTCTCGACCATGACGTCCTGGCCATTTCGTCCAGTCTGGGTGCACACGTTCCAATAAACGGCCCCTGTCATCTTGTTCCTCCAGCCGCATGGAAATGGTCTCACTGTCATCGTTGATTCCATCGTTTAAAAATCGATCCTGGACGGGCAGGTTCGACCAGCTAGTGGATGGAGGTGGAAACAAAAAAGAAGCACGTCTCTGAAAGGATAACCGGCGGCTGAAAGCTTACGGGGGATAATGGTAATACGGGCAGTAAAGGAAATTACTATGCCGCGACGGTTTAAAGGATTCGCCGGGGGGGGACTGCATTGTCCGCCGTTTTACAATTCCAAACGAGCCTCGGACAGCTGAGTGGGGGAACGCGGCCGAAATTGCCCACTATACGGGATCAAGATAATCGGGAACTTGTTTTCGGCGGAATTGACGTCGACGTGCGCTTTCCCTTCGTTTCTGGGTAAAAAAGGTTTTCAGTTCTCTGATACCGTTTTTGGCGTTACGACATCGTGTTAATTTCAATTTTATGGAGGAATATCGAAGGGGGGTGACGAGTGTATTGGACAGGATTCGAAGTGCAGGTGCAGAGGATGAAACAGATATTTGTTTAGAATTTATTTTAATGTTATATTGCCAGAATTTTCGATTACCTTTGTTCTAGCTTCGATTATAGTAAACTTTTTCACTGACACACAAGTTTGTACACGGAAGGCTGTCACTTCTAGTTCGCCAAATTATTTACCAAAATGCGAATTTTATTTCCAAATTAAGGAAAATTTATCACAGAAGAATGATAAAAGTAATAATTAGAGGAGTATGTGAATGGAGGTTGCATAAAAGTTTTGGCACGTAATTATTATTTCAGAAATATGTAAACAAATATGAATTACTGTAATCTGGACTTGTATTTGTTGTAAACGTATTATCTTGTAGGATATTTTGTATAATTTCTGCAGATGTCACTTCAATACTTCTAAAAAAGCAAGCTTAGTTATTGGTAACAATATTCAATGATTAGAATATTTTCGTGATAGTTTAGAATATTGAATATAATAAATAAATTTTACATTAAAGTCAGAGTGTACTCTTTTGAACGCAGAAGGTAGTTATTAGAAGATAATACTGTAATTCGAAGTAGAAATACTAGTACTTTGGGGCCGAAAGACAAGGAATGCAGTGGTATGGAGTTAGATCATTCATTCCAGTCGGCAAATACAATTCCATACTGCGGTTCCCAGTGCATTACAGGCTGAAGATCACGTGGTGCAACGTAAACAGAGGTTCCGGAACATTAGTGCCACGTGGCGCATTGTAAACACAACCACGTGCCATTAGCAAAGCTGTGTCGTAATGCAAGTGGCACCGTGTGACATCAGGAATCGTGTAGAGCAAACATGGCCACGTTGTACTGGCAGTCTCGTGAAGTATCTTAGAATCACTAGACGTTATCAAGGATTGTTTAGACATCCCAATTTGGTATAGATAAAGTCTATGTTATTCTTTAAAAATGATACGCATTCGATTGATCCAAATTAATTTTTACGCAATTATCAATAACTTTTGTCGTGCCTACAAGGAATGATTAAGTCTCGAATAAGAAATTTAGTTTCGTGAAATCGAAGTAAGAAGATTGTACAATATTTGTCATTTTTAAGGAGAGGACAAACTACTTATTGAAGAGGCTAATAATATTTTATTTTATTAAGGTACAGAAGCGACTTAAAGAAACTCGATCACGCGACTCTGTCTTCCTCTTTTCTGCGACTAAAGCAAACGGCATAAATATTATAGCGTCAATCATCGACGTTCGCGTTTTCTCCCATAAATTCGACCATAAACGCAGCGTATCGGCGACAGCTTAGTGGGATATAAATTTCACCGTAAACGAACGTGGTCTAGCGCAAATTCAACCATAAATAAATGTATTGCCGGAGTAAATTCGACGGCGGGATAAGCTGGTACACCGTGTCTCGACTTGGAAGAGGAATTCACGTGGATCTAAGTACGCCATTCAAACTGTACATTTGTCGAATTAATTAACGTAATCGATTCATCATCATAAACTCTTTAATTACACGCTCATCCGTACATTGGAACAAACCATAAGATAAAAATGTTAATAAATTCTGATCCTGTGTATGTGTTATTATTAACGTAGTAAAACTTCTAGTACAGAATTGAAAATTCTGATCAGTTTGAATTTTTGTATATTGGTATCGGAAATTCTAAATTTGCATAAACTTCCGCAGTCTAGTTACAACAATACATTTTCTCAGATCTTTTGAAATTTTGTTACGATATGAAAGTGACGAAATTAGTTAATTCATAAATTTGTAAATTTCCGAAAAATTTGTCAACAACATCAAGAGAATCAATCAAATCTGTTAACTAGTATTTTAATTTGGTGTGTAACTGTTTAGACTAGTGAATATTAACCAAAAATTCCGTGAATACGCCAATCTCAAAGAAGCTTAAATAGTGGAGAACGATATTGAAGCATATAAAATCTCGCTGAAAAACGAGAACATTAAAATTCAGTTTTGCATTGGAAAGAGGAAGTGATGACCTCGAAGCGTTCCCCACTCGCCGACGAATAAGTGTTTAAGTTTCGGTAATTAAACGCAGTCATACGTACACAAAAATTTAATTCTCGTTTAACTCTTCGAGGCACACGATTTTAAAGAAAATAAAAACTCTGGTTGCACAGAATTTTTTTTAATATAAAAAAAATTATATAAATATAAAATATTAAACTGTATGACTACGAGTAACTTCAACTTTTCGAGGTGGGTTAAAATATATCCCACCGTGTATAAAAAACTAAGCAAAAGGTGGGACAGTTTTTAACCCACATAACCCTAAAGAGTTAATTGGATCACCGACAGCAGACTGTACATCTCTGCATGAAATATTCACGATTCCCCGTTAGAAGACACAGAATCGAAAAAAAATACAACCCCTCTAGAACAGAAGCATGTGCGAGGCACGCGCGCGCGCCTCTTCGTTTCCGTGCCGCCCTTTTTCTCGTCCCCCGGGCTACGTTTCTTCTCATTAAAAAAGAAAGGAGAGACGCGGCACAAAGCGGATGTGCATCTTTTTGAATCGACAACCCGCGTTTTGTCCCCGGCTATTTCCTTTTTAACGTCCTCCCCTGCCCCATCCGTTTCATTTCCCGAGTTTCATTCTCAGTGACGACGGTGCCCAAGAAATTTCACGAACAATAAGACTTCCCTTGCCTTTTTGTCTTCTCTCTTTTTTACGACGCGTTGTGTTGCTCGAAACTTTATAAATTTTCGATCCTCGGGGGCACGAGGGGACGAGCCTGTAATTTTTCCAAACGATTTTGAGTCTGAAATCGTGTCGAGCTTCAACTGTTTCTTGAAGTTTTTCAAAGCGTCACGCACACGCGCGCATTCTGTGTGTATGTGTGTTATGAATTATGTATTTTAACGAGAGAGAGAGAGAGAGAGAGAGAGAGAGAGAGAGAGAGAAAAAGAAAATAGAGGTTGCTAAGAGACGACACGAACGTAAAACCGTTCGAACAAACCGCTCGGGGCATTGAAGGAATGCAAAAAGGGAATGGTTGATGTAACGGCTCAACGTGACGAAAACGCGCGAACGGATATTTGACCGGGTCGATGGTTCTTCTCGGTCCACGGTGGATTAACATTTTTTTCGAAAATTCAAATTAATACTCTGAAATAATATTCCGCGGCGATACCGTGACGAGATCGTGTTTAAATTAACCACCGACCGGCCGAAAAAAAAGAAGAAAGTTTTCGGTACGCTTTGAAATAATATCAATGTGAAAATTCGAGCGGGGTCGCGTTGTACGTTCGCAAAAAAAACCCCGGCATTGCAATAAAATTTGCATCTGTTTATCGCGTTGATTAAAAAAAGAAACAACAGTAAAAGAGTATCTGCATCGAGTTGGATGATTAGTAGACACGATAATTGACGACCGAGTTCCACTAATAATACCGTCGCGAGTCGTCGAAAAATCGCGAAATTGATTCGCGGTGATGTTGCAACCAGGACGCAATTATTTCGGGCGCATAAATATTAAACGGCCCTTCTCGTTAAAATCGTCGGCCCGGCTGGTCCCGTAAATCCTCTCTTCTGTTATCCGTTCTGTGTATGTAATGTAATATCGCGACAAATTATTGTAACGATGGACTAATTACTCGATAGACCGTATGAATAATAAAAAAAAATCGGGGACAATCTTCATTCATACAACTGATTCACAATGTCTAAAGGCTCGTTTATACGGTCAACTGATTTTCGCAAACTGACTTGTGCTTGGTAATTTGCGTAAATTAACTGTAAGTCGTTATATTCTATTTCAGGCCCGTTTACATGTTCAAATGATTTACGCAAACTGACTTGCGCATTACTGTACGTATGAATCTGAATGCACAAGTCAGTTTACGAAAATCATTCGAACCCGTAAGCTTCTATTTAGACGCAACGATTTGCTTAGATAAATGTGAATGCACATGTCAATTTGCAAATATTATTCAAACACGTAAGTTTCTTAGCCGCAACGATGTGCTTGCACAAATATGACCGCACAATTCGGTTTGAGCAAATAATTTGAACATATAAAACCCGATCTTAACACTTTTGTACAGAAACAGCGTTTCGAAAGAACGAAAAAACACTTCTGTATAAAAACGACAGAATATTTCCATCGACCTGGTAAATGAATAATCTCCGAAACGGAGCGAACAAAATTCATAAGCCTCGGCAAAAAAGCGCAGCAACACCAGAGAGCTTTGGCGATAAAAATTCAAATAGGACTAACACCCTGGAAAGCCCAAAAAAATACGTTCCCCCCCCCCTCCCCCAGAGTATCGCAATAAATACAAATCAACCCCATGCTTCGACTCACCGCCCTCTGTCTCTCCAGGAACGATTCCGCGGCCACGAGACGGGTTTATTGTTTATCCGGCCGTAAATTATTTTTATAACCGGTTCTGTTTATCAGTCGCAGCCACTGCCCCGCGATTGTTCATCATCGTTCGTCTGGACGAGTCGCGACGAAGGACCGTCGTCGTCGTCATCGGTGGAAATTTATCGTCACTCGTCCCGCGGTACCAACCGTAAATTAGACGACGACGCGGGTCGTCGGGACGCTCAACGGTTTCCTTGAAACGAAACACAGTGAAATTAGATTTATCGAGACGGACACCACGAACGGAGAAAAAGACGCTCGCGGAAAAAGAGCGCGAGGATAGAAGGAAACAATCGGTGCTTTTAACGCGACGCAGTCCATATACAGAGGAGAGACCTCACCGCGCCACCTGAAAGCTTAAAGCCTTAAATCCAGCGTTGCCAATGGCAACCTGCTTGGTCGATCGGTCAAAAGCACTTTCTAGTCTATTATTTTTCGATTTTATATATCCACGGCACAAAGGTTCCCTCTGCGCTCGGTTCTCTCTGTCGAGGCTCTGCAACAAACGATATCTAAACCACGATTGTCCATCTCCGCGGAAGAAAAAAAAAAACTGGACATTTCGGCTGTTTAGTTTGCCGTTCCATGCCCCGCTTCGTCCCTTTTCGCTGTTGGGTCACAAAGACTCGTTTAATTACAGCGGGTCGAAGATGTACACGGGCCAATTTGCCAGACCGTGTATGTGTCGTGGAAAGGGAGAGCTTTAGGAAAAATGCAGAAGCCTTTTCAAACCGTTCACAGAGTGATTTTCCGGTTGTGAACAGAGACGTTGACGCTATTAAAGGTGAATAGCAACGGTACAGATCGATTTACGTCGCGGAAAACGTAACAAGGTAAGGTTAAATCCAGCAACAAAAAAATTGAAAATTATCACTTGGATTCGGTTGGACTTGTAATAACTTTATGATTATTAACCCCTTAAGTGGGGAAAATGGATCTATCTGTCGATCTATATGTGGCCTTATACTTTTGCATACAATTTGACGTCACAGAAACTAATATCACTTCGTTTAAATAATATTATACGAAAAAAAAACACTCTTTTTGTTTTTAATTCAGTTCAGAAATTGTAATTTCGACCAGTTTTTAAAGTCAAACACTCCACAGTGCGGCATACGAACATTCCTTCCCCGCTTAAGGGGTTAATTTCCATTCTGTATTCAGTATATTTGATTGAAGAAACAAACTTATATAAAAGTGTACGTTCAATTTCACTAATAGAAGAAAATCTCTGTATCAGAAGAAATTGTAATCGTCCACCTTGATCGTCGATTTATACGACGGTTTGTCTTCGATCTTGTGAAATGTTTCACGAAACTGGGACTCGAAGTTCATCAAGTGTCTGCAAAAAATTCAATCGGATTTAACTCAACACAGTTCAATTATACCGAAAGTATACGCATACTTAAATTGATTCTTCGCCAGTTGATGGGACAACAAGATTTTCTCGATCAGAGGCTTGGAATAAATAGTCGCGAGATCCCTGATCGTGCAATGGATCTCAGCCTCCTCGGACGTCAACACAATACAATTCCACGGCGACCACTCCTTATCCACGTCGTATCGAACCACCTTCAAGAGAAACAAATCCCCATTCTCGCTGATCACCGAACGCCCGTGCCAAATATTGTTCACCAAGTGGTACATGTCGTGTTTTTGCATCATGAACGCGATCGCGGACGGGGATTCTTTCGTCCTCTCGTCCGTGCGCACGCAGTTCAACAGGAACACGTAAGGATTGTAATTCACGTGCGCGATGTTCCGCTCACGCAACCAGGTGCAGGCTGGAAATGATAAAACATTATGTTTAAACGAATCACCCGACTGGATGAAATGGATCTCGAGTGAAATCTACCGGGACGAAACGTATTTTGTACACGCTTGCGTTCGAATGTTCTCCATTCTGTGTGGAGATTGAAGATGTTGTAGATGGGTAAAATAGTACATATATAGAATTCTCGAGAACTTAACCATCACAACGAATAAGATTGTATCATTAAAGTGATTAGACTACAATCACATTTAAAAGGAACTTAATTACAATACCGATACAAGTGGAAAGCCTCGTCATTCTTCCGTGAACCGTGAAGTTCTGATACGGAAGTAACTTCGAGCAACTCTTGCACATTCGTGTTCTGGTCTCGATGGGTTCACGGAGCTTCTCGTCGTCCACATTTTTACAAAATTCCCTGTCGTCGTTCACGCAACAGCAAGAATGGGATGACCGTACGAAGTGGAGGTAACCGACTGTGTTATTAAACGAGAGGATGAATCAGGAATCAACGATAATACCTCGAGAAAGAAAGACTATATACGTCTCTGTAACGATTCCGTCTTACAGACTATTCTCTCTCTGAAGTAATCCATAGGTATATCCTTTGACAGTTCCCTCGCCAGATAGTCCAACTCTTGTTCCACGAGTCGAAACAAATGGAACGCGGGAACGCAGTTGTGCAACTCCAGTGATTTCCTCAAAATTGTTAAAATCTCCATTCGTTCGCCACGGGTCACTTCGTAATTCGTCAAGGAATCGTAGATCATCTTCAGCTCGCGAGCCTTCTGGTTCCTCATGGTGATCATTTCCGTCTGTTTCTCCTTGTAACCTATCCAACGCACAGGCTTGCAGTTCACTGTCAGGAACTTGACGCGCTTCCGGTTCCTGTAGCGCGCCCTCATCGATATCCTCTTCGTGTCGATCACGTTCATCATATTCACCGTTTTTTCGAGGATCAGGTAACCCTCGGCACATCTCGCTGCCTTGAAGAAACGCTGGTTCACACAATCGATACGATCCTGTCGCCATTGTTCCACCAGATCGTACAGCATGTCGAAGTCCAGACGGGTCTTGGGGTTGGTTCTTCGAAGTATTTCTTGTCGGTGCCTTGTTCTGAAAACAGTGACAAAAGGGTGGTATAAATTGGGAATGGAAATGCTTTTTAAAATTACAAGGAATAGATTTTTTTATGTTACTTCCTTGTATTCGTCGTACAGTTCTACATACTTATACATCATCACCTTTTCTTCCTCGTACAATCTACAATTCTCCACCAATTCTCGGTACTGTCTCGCATATTCTTTTATATTCTTCAACAACAAATATATCCGCCAGTTTCGCTGGATAATTCGAGCGTTTCCGTCGTGATTCAATCGTTGCATCATCTCTTCGTACGTCTCGTAAGGTTTCGACGTCATGTACTTGTCCAATTCGCTCGATATGAAGCAGTCTGGCCTAAATGATGAAAAGCAGACATTCAAGAAAAAAGGGGAGACTAAAGGAGTTTTCATCTCGCGTTTAATTTCATCTGATGGGACGATCTTTCGGCTTTTAATTTTCACCGTTGGAGGAGAATGTATGCGAGAAGTTGAGAAGAATTCTCGCCGCTCGAGACGTCGAGTATTTTTAATTTCATCAGAGAATACCTCACCGCCACATTTGGGTCGGATGATGGCACGGTGTTTGGGTCTCTACGTCCGTCACCGCGATGTATTGTGTCATTTTGCTGCATTTGGTCTTTGATGGCATTTTTCGCGGACCTGTCTGTGACTCGGCATTTAAATACTCCGATCTTGTGATTTTGTGCCGCCATCCGCCTAAATAAGGCTTCTTTATCCTTCGATCTTCTATAATCAATCGAGTGCAAACCATTTTGGTGTATGTATTCTGTAACTGGATAATAAAGAATGTTTTAAATAGAAGATATTAAAAAGACTAGGACGATAAGTTATTTTGGACAGCTGTTGAAAATAATAGGTTGTGGATAGAGTATATTGTCTGATATGCAGTTCATTTCTTTGTTTTTAGTATAGTATGGTACAAATATACAGTACAATGGAATTGCTTGATCGTGAATGCCACAGTAAACAAACACAATTTCCTTCTTGGACTATTATTTTTATTAGATGTATATCACATTCTCGCTCGAATTTGATGATTTACAAGTGTCTTTACCATTCAATGGTATTTATCATTCATTTTACACACAAATTCGGTGTCCTGGGTCTCGTTTTTTTTTTTCGTCCCTTTTCTGTATTATACAGAATTTAACAATGTATGTAACATGGCGATTCTCGCCTAAATCAGAACGAACGCAATATTCATACAGGCAAACAAATCGGGTCGTGAGATCGATGAAATTACGGGATCGTTATTGGTAAAAAAGACTACCATCGGGATCAGTGTTTCGTAGCTGAAGCCTTGCAATATATTCAAAATGTTGCACGTGAATCTTCTCTAACGGGAGAATTGTTAACAGTTTCATCGACGTAGCGTAACTTTTTACTATACAACATTTCAAAGCTATATATTCTACAAGTTGTATTTACATCTCGTGACGAACTGTGAATGTCACAAACTTTATCCTCAGACGACCGACACATTCATTCCATAGTATGCACATGAATTCACTTGAAACATATACAATCTTTGATAAGCTATATACAAGTATCATTTTTTCATTTAGTATAGAAATTTATCCACAAAATATATACGGCAAATAATACATATCTGTACAATAAAGGAAGAAAACTGGTTAATGAAGGAATGAAGTAAACGGGGTGAAAGTGTGGGCGGGGTTTAGGTGGAGGCTTTAAATTCTGTATTGAACGGGAAAGAAAAGGCATCCAGAAGTCAACAGCACAAAAATATTTTTTCCACGGTTAAAGCTAAAATAAATAACATGTCCACCCGTAGCTTGGAATGGGGGCATTACAAAGGTTTCATTTTGGTAAGTTTGATCAGTGGGAAGTGTTGGTGACAGGAGAAATCAAATACTGGAGGTTCTTTTGAGTCCTTCTGATGTCCATCGGCGAGTAGTTTCAAAACCACGAAATTCGTTTTGGATACTTTCAGTAAATCATTAATCTGCAAACCAAAAAGTACACAATCAGTAAAAACGTTTCAGCGAAAAAGAAAAATTAAGGTTCGTCTAAAATAATTGTACCTCGTTTACAATGCTGGCATTCGGTGAATAAAGAGATAATGCTCGTTCAAACATATTTCTTGCTTCATAAAAATGATGACAGCCAGCTAAGTATTGCATTTCACTAGTAACCTTCTCCTGGAAAGACAGAAATTTAAGAATACGTAAAGTATAATACCAAACATATATCATTATTACACTCACGTTTCTTTTATGCATTTGTGCATTAGTCATATGTAAGAATTCTTGATAATGCATTGGTGGCGGTGTCAGTAGCAAAGAAAACGGTAATAACCTATGCTCGTATCGAACACGTTCCGAGTCAAATTGCATTTCTGGAAGTGGTATTCTTCCATCCATACGAAAACCAAGTAAAGCCTATAATATAAACAGAGTTTTCATTATAAATTTGATTGCCTGTTAATGTCTAGATTGTGAAATTATCTGATCAAAATTTACTTTATAATATCCTCCACATATATTTTGCATAGCCCGATACATCAATATTTCTAAGTCATTCGGTCTTGGCGTTGATTTCTTTTTCTTATTTTTAGCGCTCTTCTTGGCACTTCTACCTTTATGCGCATCGTTATGTACATCCTGGTCCATTAACGACATATCGGCCCTCGTAAGAGCCGATACAAGCCATCCGTAAAGAAATTCGTACAGGTACCAGAAGATGTAATGGTATTCATGTACTGAATACAGTTCAAGCTCGAACCCACTTAACAAATACATGACCATTACTCGTAGTGTATGATACAAAATCCATATTCCAAAACAGTCTAAATGCGACCTGGGTGTAACACTTTTTAAAGACAGGTTATGTAAGAACCTATCTACTCTTACAGCCTGTCCAAATTTCAAATTTGCTATAATAGAAATCTTGAGAATCATGTAAACTCATTTAGATTTTATTTGAACTCACTTCCTCTTGGAACGCGGTAAAGTCCTCCAATAAATGTGCCAGTTTATCTCTCTGTCTTGCTCTGTTATGACCAGTCAGCTGCAAAAGCGTACTAAAGAGGCTCACACAGTGACACATGAAACTATCCACATACTCCTTGGCTTGATGATTTTGAAGCAACGTGCTCTTTGGCATTAAAACCGGTGGTGCGATAAAATTCCGCGCTGCGTCTTTCAAAACATCAGCGAAGTTATGTACACCGAATACTCGGTTTGTTGTAGGTAAATAAACTATTTGTAACATTGATCTAGATAATATACACGGACTTTGTCGTGAAAATTCTAAAAAAAAGTCCTAAAAAGAAATCAGTGTACTTGGTATTTATGCTGAGAATTCCTATTAACTTGTAAAATTTTACTTACCAATGCTGCATGAAATCCATTCTGATTGGTGATCATAGTAACTGTTCTAAATCTGTTCAATAATTCGTCCAAATATTTTAGGGCTTCTGTTCTTGGCTTTATTTTAGTATATCGTGGAAATGTTGGTGGTAATAATCTTTGATTCACCATGGGATCAAACCCCATAATATTTGGGTAATTTGCTAGCAATGATGATATAATTATATTTTAATAAACAAGCAGAGAAATAATTTTACACAACTTACAGATCTCATCAGCCTTCTCTCCCATATCGACTGTCTTAACCATAACTTGAATCATATATGAACACTTGTATAATAATCTATGACAATCATTTAAATTTTGTTGCAGCTGCTCTTTCTTTCCCATTAACGATAATATTTGATAGAACAATTTGGTAAATCTAATTCTGGCATATAGAGCTAGCCCATCATTATACTAGAAAAATTATAACATTTAAATAACACATTTATTTTTAGTCAATGTATTTTCACTTTCTTATACCTACTTCTTTCTCAGATTCTACATCAACTGGCTTTATTCTACTTTTCCTATGTAGTTCCTCTTCAACTTCACGCAACATAGATATAGTCTTTTGTTCTGCAATATCTTGTTGCAATCTGTAGCCATAAGTAACACTTTGAAAGTCTTCTTCTTCAAACACTAATGCTTTGTTTATGCAATCTCTAATTATCTCAATTATTTTGTACACCGCATAACAGAAAGTCTTCAAAGGTTTATCCTCTATTTGACTGGGTTGATGAAGGTACAAGTTAGTGAAAACTGTTTGTGCTAGACTATGACCTTCTAACCATGACACTATACACGCATAGGTTGAATCAATTATTCCTATGACCTCTGATGGAGTCAGATTATTCAGTTTTAATGCACCGGAATCAACAGCTTGAGTGAAAGTACTTGGTTTATTGTTGCCCCGGTTACATAGCATACCAGCATCCATCTTTGGATCCATCATCTCAATAGCAGACATTGCCTCAAATAACCCAAACAATTCATCGCGCAAAAGTTCTCCCAGTTCCAATTCTAAAGAAACATATTAATGAAATATTTAATACAGATAATACAATCCTGATGTTAATTGTACTACTAATAGTTTGAAATTAAAATCATCAGAACCATAACTTAAACAAACTCATGATTAAAGACAAATAAAATTATTTGAACGGGAAATTCAACTTCCTAGACAAAAGAATTGAACTTCATTGTTCCAAGTCTAACAAGACAATAAGAGAAAAAAAGTGGACAGGAAAAAAGATTTAAAAAATTTAAGCAAGCATCCAAAAACGAGAAAATTAGCTTCTTTTAAATAAGCACCTGTGATGGCTTCGAAAAATTCTTGGGTAATATCCACCCAATTGTAACTGACTTGGTCATATCTGTAACGTAAATGAATGTATAAATTAAAAAATATCACCAAAGATCGCGAAGTGTATTGCACGTTAGGTTATTTTCCAGAATCCTGGACAAAATCATGGTACTCTCATCATGATTTTTTTTCACAGTTGTCCGTAACATACTCTTTAATTTTTTTATTAAAATTCATTGAATACAACTCACTGTAATTCTTTATCTTCGCTCATGTCAACCGAAGTCTGTTCTTCCACCATAGTCGCCATTCTTGCAGACTGTCTGTCACATTTAACAGCACTGCCAACAGTACGAGACCATGTTGTCTTTCAATCGAAACTATAATTTCTTCAGCCTCTTTAAGACAAATAATTTCTCCAGCATGAAAGTTTCAAGTATTTCAAGTTATCGAAAGATATACATTCCTCCCTTCTGCGACTGCATCACCTGTACCCTATTCCCGAGTGACATACAGTGACAGTCAAAATAGTTGACCAACCCTTTTTGATAAATCAAAAGACACCAGGTCAAATGAGAGATCTGTCACAAGTTATGATATTCAATGCTATATAACAAAAAATACAGAAAGATTACTGAAATTACGATTATACATTTCTTGTAATGGTATCGAATTGTTTGTTGAACCTCTTTGTATTGATATTGTGCATCACCAATTTTCAGCTCTGGCGTGTTTAATTAATATTTAATTTTATATAATAAATGAAACCAAAAAATATCTGTAGTGCTATCACTAGTCGGTGCTATTACACAGTACACCAATGAGCAAACTCGGCTTCCGCTAGGGGAAAAAGTGAAGTTGGCGAAGGACCTGCTACTCTTTAGTTTGGGGAATTACTGAAATTTATACCAAATTAACATTCGATTTAACATTTGTTTCAGTACCTGAAATAAATATACAAAGTGATAGGAGGCCCTTTCCTTACGTTACTTTTTCCCCTAGCGGTAACCGAGTTTGAAAATATACAATTTACAATAGTATTTCTATAAATTTAACAACAATTGTCTTAAATACTACTTAGATATATGATATGACAATTTATTTATAATAATATTTTTATAGATTCAGTAGAAATACGCTCTGGTGTTATTCAGGCTTATAAAATATTGTAATTTATCCGTCGCAAATTCCCTCTTCTGTAACTTGCAAATCTTCCGTAGGATCTTCAAAGCTTCATACAGGTTTCATAAGTTTGTCGTCGAAATTTTCATTGACGTTAATATCACCGACTAGGTTCGGTGGTGCTATCTACGGCAAAACGTCCAAGCTACTTCAGGCTACTAGCCAAGTAGTACCACGTTCTTATCGCAAGATGACGCCTAACTATTAAGAAATACTTGTATTATTAATTAATAATTATTAGGGGTTAATATACATTATCTGGGTTGGAATTACAGTACTTTAAGAAGGAAAAACTCCAAAGGAAACTATAAAAAAATAACTTTGTTCGCGAGCCTTCCATTAGAACCCATTGTTTTTTTAACGCGATTTCGAATTGAACTAACAATTATTGATATCGCATCAACATCTAGCGGTAGAGTGTGATACTACATAGTTGGCTATAGTATAGCTTATTGTTAGGTGTCTTGTCCTAAATGGCGCCACATTGCAGTTCGCCCTCGCATTTATTATTCCATATAAAGAACAAATATTAAATAGAAACACTATACTGGCAATTGTAAATATGTACACAGTATCAATTCAGGTGACTTGAATAAAAAAAATCTGACGTCTCAAGTTATTATAATGTGGTTTTATGCCATTTTGGCTGCATTATACCCATCAACAGTGGTTCATGACAGATAAAGAGAGTTTTACGAACACTAGTATTATATTCAAACTTATTCGAATTTATGGCATCTGTAACTGATAGCGTCAATATTTCAACGACAATACATTTTTTTACATATTTCTGATGTGTCTTTGTTTCTATGAATTCTATAACAAATGGAAGATAAGGTTGGAAGAAATAATAATAAAATTATGTTTTAATGTAATTACTATCCCGTAAATTTCAAATTTAATTCCACTACTTTTAGGATCTTGTGGACGAACTGAGAACACTCCAACAATTACAGAACATATTACAACAATATTATACCTTGTTGCAATTGATGAGGACCGATTTAGAGAAGATGCTAAACAACTTCACTACATTAAATGGTAACCATTTACACTCATTCATTTGTTAATTAGTTGTTACAGAGTTATATAAAGTAATGTAAATAAGATAATTTAACTAAAAAATGGTTTCCAATACTTTTTTATATAATACTGTTAATGTAAGAAATAATATCTTATATATTTATTCATATGTAAATACAATATAGGCCTGGAATATAACAAAGCGCCCAAGTAAAAACACTTCTTTGGTGATAACAAATGTTCATAGTTTATGAAAACTTCTACACATTTACTTATTATATATGAACCCAAATGCAATTACAACATGGCAACTAATACAAATCAGAAAGACGTATTACCAGATGGTACATTACTTACATGCGCTCCATCTTATTTAAGAAGAAAATCGTTTCAAAATGCGTCATCCCTTGTTTTATCAGAAAACAATGATGAAGCAGAACGTTTGGCTAGGAGAAGAAATATAAATATTTCTACTATATCGATAAAAAATACTACAAATGATAAACGACGATCCTTGGGACTAGGTGTCTTAGCACATTTGTCAGCACCAGAAATAATAGATCGTATATCAGAGTGTATAAAACTTAATATGGAAAACAAAATTAATATGAAAAATGCTTTTAACCTTGAGATAATCGATTTCATGACTTACATGATTAAAAAACAAGATGACAATATGTCTAACTTGCAAGTAGCTAGTACATCCTTGGATGTAAGTACTAAAGTTTATGGATATCGTGTAGATGATGTATATACAGAAATAATGAAACTTGTTGGTGGCATGGATAAACAGGAGAAAGAATTTGTGAGAAGTGGTAGTCAAGATGACACAGATGTACAAGTAAATCAAGTAAATGGTTCAGATGAACAAGGGAAAAAGAAAAAGAAAAAGTCGAAGCAAACAATTTTCAGTACTGTTAAAAATTTAAAAGGAAGTGTTGAAATAATGAAACCCACATTGTGGTTAATGGGGGATGATGATTGGCAAACTACAGATGCACTATATCAAGTTATGTTGCCAAATCATGCAAATTCCAAATTTTATTTACATTTATATAATGACGTTATTGTTGATACTGTAAAAACTGAGGAGAATGACAAAAATGGAGAAGAAAATATTCCAAATGTAGACTTTTCTGGATCAGAAATATGTCCACCATTGGCTAAGTTTCAATTCCTTTATTGGACTGATGTCAATGAAGAAGAACAGGAAGAAGACCAAGTGGAAGAAAATAATGGAAACAAATTTCAATTTGACCTAGATGCCAGTTTGCAATCTGAAAATGAAATGGTTGATTCCAGTATAAATTTGTTTAATATTGAAGTTGAAGATAATGTGGAAGCATATGTTAAAGTGCAAAAACCTGTAGAAAAGATTGTAGATCTCTGTAAAATCATAACTAACACTGAACTAACAAAAAAATCTGAATATTCTTTTCTTCAGACAGGTAATAATATTCACTGGGCAGGTCCATGTCACTGGAAGGTAAATAATTTCAAAAAACACATTGGTGGAAGCAAAATCATAGAAACATGTCATCAAGAACAAGGTGTAAAAAGGAAAGAAATAGAATTATCTTTTGATGATAATGTAAAGCAAGCTGTAATGGCAAAATTTGTATTGAATCGCACAGGAAGAATAGAGTTAAAGTCTGCTGAAAGAGAATGGTACGAAGAGACATTACCACGAGATATGCATTACAATATTTCAAGTACAACTAAGCTATATCTTTATGAATTAACAGCCATGGGTACACAAAACAGAAACGATTTGAATGTTACCCATGTGTTTGATGATATAGACAATTATAATTACACCAACGATAATGATGTATCAAATTATTGTCCTAACATTCCTAATGAAGATTATGAACTACCTGAAGAAAATCATAATGAGGACGCGATTGATTTAAGATTTGAAGGTGAAATTCATGAGAACTTTATAGGAGACAATTTAGTTGCCGTTCCCAAATTAACAAATAAAATATCTATCGCGTATAGCGTTCGTGCAAATAAAATTGATATGCGACAATTGAAAAAATCTATTTGGAACCGCCTGATAACTACAAACGATAAAGAAACTATAAATACACAAAATATGGTGGAACAAGAAACTGAGAACAAAATGAAAGAACAAAAAAGTTTCAGTGAAATTTATAGAGAACTGCCAAATATGTTAACGAAAGCTAATATGGAGGCATTAAGTTTCCCTATTTCGTTTGTATCTTTGCTACATTTAGCGAATGAAAAAACGTTAAAAATACAGTCCCTTCCAGATATGTCTGACATCATTGTTGCTGCAAATTAAATATCTCTACAATGTAATTGCTACAGAAAATTGTAAAATAGTATTACTTATATGTAAATAACAAGATATTTTATACATGTGACCTATTACATTTTATACTGACATAAGGATGTAAAAAACAATAATAAAACAGTATTATGTTTTCAGAGAATTGTACACATTGTTTTTATTATTTAAGTATTATAACGATTTTTAAAAAATCATCATTTTTGCAGATATCGACGAAGAGTATGCAACAGCAAAATCCAAAACTCCGTTCAAAGAGCCAACAATGAAGTAGAAGTAGGATAAGAAAAAAGATTTTATCATTATTATTTGGATAAATTTATAAGGGTTTCTATTTATACGAAGTTATTCATTTGTTCATCAGTTATTTTTATTAGTCAGTGTAACATTGAGTTAAACCCGTAACCTCGTCATTTGGTTGTATTTTATAAATCTTAGCAGTACTAAATACAGTTATCATCAATGACTCACGTTACAAGACAAATGGTGAATCATGATTGGAATGCAACGGTGCCTTTTCCGATCCATCAGAAAAAATATATCGAGTCGTCTCTGTCGCAGCATTTCGAAAATACCGACTGACAAAAAAAAAGTCAAGAACCCAAAGTGCATTGAAAATGCTGAAAAATCCAAGAAAGAAACTGATCCTGATAACTCGAACAGAACCGAATTCAATAGTTACGATTGCTTCCTTCCAGATCGCAAAGGTGACGTTCAAGTCTGTATAATTGGAGGAGGCGAAGCACCAATTTACACAGCTGTTCTTTTAAAACAATCACGATTGATAAAACGCGTGAACCTAGTAGACACGACTGATTCAATGGCTAGCGCAATTTTAGATATAAATCACATCGATACTTCTACTCAAATCAAGTACTACAAGAGGAAACATTTAAAAAATGCCCTTAAAGAAGTACATTTACACTACCGTTTCCTCTTTACTTTTTACTCGATTATTTAAACCAAAGTATTTATGTTTTTTTATATATTAAAAAACCGAAGGCCACTCTTTACTGAGTTATCAAGGTCAACGATGTTTCATGAAATGAAAACATATCTTTTCTCATTTATGACACGTTATAAATTATATCAATTCGTTCCTCAGCATATATATAATTATACATTCCTGTAGTGACCTTGAACTTAGATACACAAAGACATAAACATTAACGTATATACTTATTTGTGTTTCCTCTCGGGTGAACGTGACGTAGATAGAAATCTATGTAAATTTCATTAATGAAAAAGTTCATGACCTTGATAATGTAGTAGCAATGTTCTTCGAAAGAAGCAATTGTGTTTGTCAAGTCCGTATTTTGGTACCACGTAACTTTAGTTTCACTCGTTTCTTTTATATTGTCAAGTACGCCAGAAATATACATTCACAGGTGTCCTGTCTCTAATCACCTGTGTGTGTTACAGTCACGATGATTCCTGCAGTATAAGACAAGCCTACTATCGCTACTTTCTTTTTTATTTTGATAAACTAATTTGCAAAGTCTCATTGAGTCAACTGCGATCTTAAAATTAATCTTCCATACGATCGGGAGTGCCATGAGAGATAATCATTTCCGTTCATTATCACCGAATACGATCGATGTGCATAATTCGGTGTCATTTCCAGACAAACATTATCGCGTTAATGGATGAAGCAGACACGAACGTGATGGATTTGAACCCGAGAACTCGGTTTGAAGCGGCGTCATCGTACGTGTACGAAATGGCCGAGCAAATGGTCACGGTTAGCGCGGACGCATTGGTGGCCGTTTTTGTTCGGCCGGTCACGGCGATGCTTCCGATGGTTTCGGAGATCTACAAGCTCGCAGGATGGTGGGATCCAGACAGAATCGTTGGTTCCACGTCCCTTGAACGTATGCGAATGGAAGCAACCACAGCGAATCTCTTAGACCTGAATCCGGCGTTCCTATCGGTCCCCATGGTCGCTGGCGCGGATCCGTACACCATCGTCCCTCTTCTGTCACGAGCTAGTCCTATCAACCGGTTCACCTATGTACGATACCACAACTATGCCGATGAAAGTTCCCGTTGTAGAGCAAATATCGGCAGAATGGATTTGATGAAATGTTCCATATCTCTAGATAAGTTTTGAGACAGACGATCTAACAAGTGTCGATTAATCACTCGATATATATTTGGTTCATGTGCGCGACACAATTTCTAACATAGCAGATCTTCAAAAATCACTCGTTCGAAATCCCTTCGAAATTTAAGTATTGCTCCATTGGTCAATGACTGCTCCAATTTCATTTGGAAAGTCTCGCGAATCTATTGGTACCATTATGAATCACGAAGACGTACTGAAACTAAACGGACGTTTTGGTTTTGTAACCAGCAATATTGTTACTACGTGAGCTACCAATAACGTTATTTGACATTGTTTCTCAATACCAGAAATCGTCAAATGGATTTCTTACTAGATTTTTATCTGATCGTTCTCAGTATATCGCTGTTTATACTGTCCTTTCATTTACCGTACTCTCAGTGAGAAAAATCTTTATCTGGTCAGAACGTGTTCCAGGTCATAAAAATCATTCACGAGCGATCCCGAACAGACGAGTGATTGTTGAAGCGTTGCTGTAGTTTAATATTCTCTTAGTGTTTATGCGTTTTGTTTCTTCGAAACGTTTCGCCGAGTTTAGCTAACTTTCTAATTAGGTTTGTAGGAACAGATTGAAATGGAAATATTATGAATAGGCGCAACAAGAAATGTTACTACAATCGTTGCGTGGCGCGGACAAGGAAATGGCACGCATCGAAGCTAAGGGACCAGTACTGTCAGTCGGAGCAGCCGCAGCTAAGTTGATTCTCGCGCTTGCCGGTGGACTTACCGGATCACCAAATGTCATCTCTAGCGGTTACGTTCGATCGAATGTTTTACCGGTGTGCCGATTCTTCACGACCGAATTGCAGTTAGGACCTGGAGGAGTGCAAAAAAATTATGGATTACCAAAAATGTCACCGGCGGAATTAGTACTTGTCGAACAAGCGATCCCTATAATTAACGAACACATTCACATGGCAATGAAAGCGGTTTCCAGCTGCAGCCACGTCAAGCGAAAAAGTCTATAAGTACATTCTAATTCGCGCAAGGAATTGCACAACGCGTTAGCCGCGTTAATATTGTTATTCTGTGAAATCTTTTTGTGGAGACTTTTGTCAGAACTCAAGATATAGAGCGAAACGCCCAAACATTGATAATGTAAATGCGTTTCACGATCGGCGATACCATTGTTAAGTTTCTCGTGCCATTAAATTAGTAGTCGAAAATACGTTACTGTCAATGTTATTGATAACTCACGAGTATGCATTTAATTATTGAGATATCGTACATATCGTATAGCAGGGATTATTCATATTTATTAAAAATAGTAGTACTAATGTATCGATTCTTCTAGGCGATCGGGTGTAACGCGTCAATTCTATTTATATACCCACTAAAATGTTACACGTGTGTCTGGAGCGGTGTGAAAATTCTTCTCATCGTTATCGTAATAATTTTGCAAAATGTATGGTACCAATGGCTGTGTTTCTACCTTATCGATACGGGAAGTGTATGCTTCTTCGAAAAGAGCAGTTTCTGATAGAGTGTAGGGCGGTTCGGTGGTTTAGTCCGGTTTGCAGTTTGAAACGGAGCACATTTACGATTCCGGTTAATACACGGCGAGAACGGAGTGCAACGTAGTCGGTACACGCAATCAACCAGTCCGCGAGCGGTAGTGCGATCGAAAGAATATGTATAGTTGGTGATCAAGATATAGCGATCTTGTGAAACTTTCTTGAGTGACCGTATAAGTGTTTTTCACACCTGAAAACAACTCGCTTTATAGAATTTTGAGAAGCTCGATCAGGATCATTCAATATGTCATAACTCGAATTTAGCTCCTACTAGTTTCACTGTAGAAATCATTAGCACTGAAATGGGATATCGTATTTGGACCTGAGAACTGTCCGGTCTCAACGTGAAGTCTGTTAGATCTCACTATATCAATACACGTTAAATTTCACGGGGTTATTTTACGAATTCGCTGTATCTTACACACCTGCTGTACATACATTTTTTATTAGTCAGTGAAAACGATATAGTGTGATCATAAAGTAGACTAGTGAACTATATTATTGCCGCAAGACACAGGAGTGTAGATATTATTCTATCTAAATTCGTATTTTTAAAAAATAATGCTGCTAAGTAATGGCGATACTTTGGCTACGAAAATAGACATTTTTTTCTCTGTTTGAATAACCAATAACATCGAAGTAAAACAAAAACAAACATTAAATTGAAACGAAGTTTAAACAGTTCGCATGATCTAGGCCCGAGATCCATATTTCTGTCTGTAATTCTTTTGTCTCGGTGGCTAAAATATGGGTTACTTTATCTTCCAGATTCGGACGATTTTATGGTCACACTATATTTCTTATACCGACTATGTGTCCTCTGTTCTCAATCGGTTTGTGATGCGTATAAATGACAAACGAAAAAAAGGGGTCCTAAATAGACATCTGTTGATTCGCCGATACGCGTTCGCGTTGCACGAGTGATCCACGCGTCGATTAAAAATACTTATTCGTTTCGCCCGCAGTATGATAGCGGATTTCGTAGCATTGTCGTTCGGGAAGTGTTTATAGATAATTCAATCTATAAATATCGGAACAAAACGCAAAGGGATTTAAATTTGGGTCGGACGACTACACGTAGATACCGCCAGATACCGCTCGGCTAGGCTATTTTAAAATTTGCACGAAACTCAACGAATCTCTTGTTTTGACTTTGACATTTTACGCAGTCGTTTTATCTTCATCAATCGAACGATTTTTGTGTTGCCAAGAATCTTGTTAAAGTATCGACACCATGGGGATTATATTATCAAGATTTCGCGTAAGTCTGTGTCAATATTTATAAAAGTAATGTTAGCACAAATTTTCTTTTTAAGGTTAACGTTCTATCATATCATGCTCTTTTAGTGTGCATTTAGAAACTATTATTTGGCCACGTCGTTTTGTCAAATACCGAGAGTCGGTAGTACTAGTTTTTTTGTGTTTCCTCGAATGCAGGATTAAATTGAAATAAAGATAAGGCTTTACGGTTGACAGGCTTTCGAGGTTAGGCGCGAAGATAAGAAGCGTTTAAATGAAGCTAAACGAGATGTAACAAATTTGTGTCTGTTTAGAATACGTCGTTAGCACAGTACTTATAATACTATACTTTACCATTCGACCTTTTTGATTTGGTAGAATTTAGATTCCTAATGCTTGATGATTAATCAAAATTGAATTGTAATTTATGCTGTAGAATTACCATACGATACAAAATTACCATTCAATGACATTAAGTTCATCCTGTTTGAACTTTTCACTGTGCAGCTCAAAGTACCATAAACCATTATATAGACCATTTGATGATAAATCATTTGATAAATTACTTTTTTATTGAAGAAATTTATAAAAGTATTAGACTTTAGACCACATTTTCTTAAAGAAATAAAGAATTAAAGGCAATACACAATGATTCGGCATTGACTATTAAAAACTATTAATTAACATCCTATACATATAGTGATAAGCTTACACATTATTAATCCATAAACAAGTCTGATTCAGAATGATGAAATCATTTGAATTGATATTTGAATTTTGATGTCATCTACAATTTTATTTTGTATGTACATAGAAATGTATAGTAACATTAATCTTTTGCACATTTCAGAAGAAAAAGACCACTATTGAAATTTTAGAAGATCTTGATATGGTAAGGAACTCATAGTTTTCTAAATATCATAAGATCTTAAATATTTCTAATAATTCTTTCATCTGATAGAAAATCAAAGAGATTGAGAGATATGGGCTCACTACAGAGCAAAGGCAGAAAAAAATTGTTGGCACTCTCATTCTATACAGTGTGGTACTTTATATCATATCTGCATTCATTTTTTATTTTTGCTTCTTTCCTGCATCATTATATGATCAAATATTTTATATCATTCCACTACTGATCTTTCCCATTCTGTAAGTATTTGTTTGTACATTTAATTCAGACATCCCTTAAAATTACTTAGAAACACTAATTGAATATTTAACTGTTACAGAATATTGCTTACAAAAAAGCTGGTTACATGGTATTATAGACGTAAAATCTCTGAAAATCAAGAAAAATTAAGTGAAATGCAATTAGAAAAAAATCAAATTCTAGATAAGGTCACAGAAACTGAGACATACAAGAAAGCTAAAGAGATTTTATTGAAGTTTGCTCCTGATCAGTTGAAAATGACACCTGTAAGTAAAGTGGAATTTAGTAATAGAGGGATTTGATTAGAGTTTCACAATTTGTATAAATAACTTTTTCATAATTCAACTGTTATATATAATTTTTTAATGTAAATATATTTTAATTAGATTCTTTTTTATTTTTCAGTTGACCCCACAGGTTGGTTTCACAAGTGCATTGTTTTTTTTGTAATAGGATTAGATAATCAGATCTGAATGCTAGTGAATAAGAGAAGGTAAAGAATGAAAAAAATTTTATTTTAGCCACCTTATAGAGTGTCACGACAGACAGACACACCTCAACGTTCTAATGTATCACAAAATGTGACATCCCCAATGTCTGATTCTGGGGAACTGAGGAGGAGAGTACTGACACCACAAAATCAACCACTAAATGTGCAAAGTGGTATGCCCGCTAACACTGGCCTTGTCCCAGTTGGCATAGCTCCCATTCGAAATACACCAGTTGCTGCTTTCCAGAGTAATGTTAGACCAGTTGCTCCAGTTATGGGTTATCGTTAGTATTATTAGAACTATAATATTTACCATTGATAATACTGTATAAATAAAACATAAGCAAATACGTGTATGATTCGTGTATTTTAAATGATGAAAATTAAGTTATTTTTTATTGTGTAATTTATGTGTTTGTTAAAGAAATACGTTATTAGACTTAATTTTTAATTTATATAAGAATTTATAACAAGAACTTATAAGATAATTTACGTAACAGGATCGCCATTACCACGTCCGGTTTTACGTCGTGAAAGAAGTTATTTAGATCGCCTGATTGACTACATTGTGGGTGATGGTCCAGCAAATCGGTATGCGCTAATTTGTCGACAGTGCGAGTCACATAATGGAATGGCGTTAAAAGAAGAATTTGAATATTTTGGTAAACATCTATTATAAACTACAAGAAGAGTTAAGTATGCATATACAGTTGTAATAATAAATATTTTCAATACACGCATTTCTTTGTTGTAGGATTCAAGTGTTGCTACTGCAACTCCTGGAATCCTGCAAGAAAACAGAAATTTTCTGCACCAAGATTAGATGTTGATCTTACTCATACACCAAGCCATCACAGTTCATCGTCGTCTAATACACCTGAACATGCGTTAACCACAAATATGAAACTTACACAAGTGGAATCATCGAGTCCATCGGATACAGGTTTATGCATATTCATTTGGCATTTACAATATGTTACATTTGATACAAAGAACATTATAGAATGTTTTTATTACATAAAACTTTCAGATTCTGATATCGAAGTAGTTGAAAGACCAACAGAATCAGAAGATATTGAACATACGACCCAGGAAACTAAAAACTGTGGTAAGTAATAGTTTTGTTAAAATATATTTTTCTTTTAATAGTTCTCGTGATCTAAACAAATATAATTAGAAGTAGATGAACCTGATGCGGCTGAATCGGAAAAAGAAGCAAGCGAAACGAATGAGAAATGTGAAGAAACTGTTGAAAAAATGGATGTCGACGAGTCATTCTCTTAACGAGATCACGTTTTCAATGACATTGCAACATGAATACGTTTATAGGTATATACGTATAGCGGAAATGTAAATACTATATTACTGAGGTGTAGTCTTTGGAAAAGTGGATAGTATTTGCACAAGCTATATTAAATATTATATTCTCTTATTCAAATGAAAAGTTATTCCAAATTGTTCTCGTCTAATTCTTGTTAAGATTTTGCGTAACTCAAAATGAAGCAAAGTGATCACACGTACTTACAAGATATTGTTAAAACAGTGTCTTATAAATTCCTTTAAAAGGTTTTTGCTTCAACCGTTTGTTACTGGCAAAATCACGGAACTTCGTAATATATATTGAAAAGTGTTTAGAGATCATTTATTCTTATAAAAATCTTAAATTATCTGAAGCATTATGAAGATGCTCACATTGAAAATTGTAGTCAATAATCAATTTTATGCAAGACTGCGTATCTTGCGAATAGCGGACACTAGTATTTATAGTAGATAAAATCATTTTGTTCTCTTTATTTAAGAAGTATTACAAAATTTTATTTTCGCTTATGTGTTTACCATTTTAAGGATGAAATAAGTTTTTCTTTCTTTTATTAAGACCATTGTGAACTGGCGAAACAATAATGGAATATGAATAGGTATATGATTATCATTTTGGTAGATTAGCATCGTTTTTAATATTATACATTGTAGAAGGTATAGATTTTTTATATATACGCTGAAGAAAACAACTTTACTTTCAGTTTGTCTTTTTTATAGAACTATCTTCGATCAGATTCCTTTTAGTATAAGTGTTATTGTGATAATAATATGTGTTTTGTGTCCTACTAATATTTCTTTGAAAAGAATGCAATTTATTCACGTGCCAGAGAAAGATTAAAGAAATGCGAGAATAATTACGCATGACTTTCAGTCTATTTTTAAACGATATTTGAAAAAGCCATAAGATCCTCCTGTTAAAGAGATTTTACCATTCTACTTTATTTTATATGTTACCGACTGCTTTCATTTCAACCTTTATGCTTGAAGCATAGTATTCAATGTAAAAATGTGATTAAAGATGTTTGAATAATTGTTACAGGAAATATACTTTTTAATGAATTTAAAAAACATTGGTGTTTCTCCCAAATCTAATATAAACATATTATTAATTGCGGACTAAACAAATATACGAAAATAAAATCGTTTTAAGTACTATTTTGAAAAAGAATATTAAATGTTACGTAGTACTTTATAATGAATGTTTAACCGCCATTTTTTTAACTATTACGAACATGGAATTCATAAAGTCGTGTAATTTTTTCTTATTGGTGCACGCAGCCAATTGCGGAACTGATTTAACGAATCGTCCAGTTGCGCGCTGTGTTCATGAAAGTGCAAAATCGTGCTCGTTCGAGCACATGCGTGAATCGGTCTCAGTTTACATGGTAAAAATAGTGCTCGGCCGTTGACGGACTATTATTCGAGGTAAATCTAACGATTTTTTCAGCATCGTTCACCAATGATGGTAAAAGAAAACCAATATCGAGAGACAAGTAACCAAAGTAGCTTTCTATACAAATCATACTGTGTAATATGACTTATTGTCAACGATGAACGCGCGAGATGTTTGCGCCTCGATGATCTTTATTCACCAAATTTGCCGTGCTCAATAGCACTATATAAAACGTTCTACGAACTTAAAGGGACTCGAAGTTTCTCGTGTTCATCAAAACATGTACGAATTCGTCGCGATATCTTAACGTAAGCAATAATAAAAATTGTCGACCCATCGCTACAAGTATTTTTCATCTATATATATATAGATTTAGTGGGCGCCATAACAACGTCCATTTGTCCTGTAACAATCGTTTTACGATAAGTATTTACTATTTTTGGTAAATCTCCGTATACTTAAGTTTATTTTCCACTTTATGAACGAATATCATTGTCTTTTCACTTGCTTGTAGTAAATCTTTGTATCGTTGATGACAATTATAGAGTATTTGTAAGTGCATTAGGTGGGGCAAGCTTCGTTAACCCGGTATGAAACACGTGTGATCGAATTTCGTGAAGTGATTAAAGAGTTTTAATTTGTAGGTCATAATGGAAATGAAACAAGGAACCTAATGCAGGATACAATATTTCTGTAAAAACAATAAATGTTACTTAATTAGGACGATTATGTTTTACAATTTACGTTTGCCTCTCAGATTGTGTGTATTAATTAAACGGTGTTATACCTTACAGATCAATAAACATGCCGGAACTGACTGAACTTGACAAAGCTATGAGCTCTGAACCTACTAAGGTTGAAGCGGCAGCTGCAGGATCTGGAACTGATTCAGACTCTGATGATACTGTCCCAGAATTAGACGATGCACGTGCAGGTGGTACTGTTGGTTTTCCAGGAACGACCGTTGCTGGTCTTCCGATTGACATGGTCTCTAAGGCTAAACAAAGTCGTGGAGAGAAGAAAGCTAGAAAGCTTATGAGTAAATTAGGATTAAAACCTGTATGTTTGGTGACTGTTCACTCTTGTTGCACATCATATTTAAAGATTTTAAATGCTTTTTTTCATTGTATAGGTTCAAGGAGTTAACAGAGTGACTATTCGTAAATCAAAGAATATTTTGTTTGTAATCAATAAGCCAGATGTGCTAAAGAGTCCAGCTTCAGATACATATATAGTATTTGGTGAAGCCAAGGTAAATTTCCTGAAATACTTGTTTACATTATATTTTCATGGTACAATTTTTTTAGTACATGATGATCTCTTACAGTTTCGCATATTAACTGATAAATTGTGTTGAAATATTCCTTGGCAGACTGACATTTAGTAAACTTCTTTTTCCTTTCATGAGTAATTTTATAGTTTTTGATAAATGAATAAAAACTTTGTTCCAGATTGAAGACCTCAGTCAGCAAGCTCAAGTGGCAGCTGCTGAGAAGTTCAAAGAACCACCAGTTATTCCAGCAACTGAAGCTGGAGGCAGTACTACTGTAAGATACTTTGTTACAACGTGTAATAACAGGTTTTCCATTATATTGTAACTATTGCCTGCAATTTTATTTTTGTTATAGGTTGTTGCACCTATACAAGAAGAATCAGAAGAAGAGGTTGATGAGACGGGAGTCGAAGAAAAGGACATTGAATTAGTAATGTGTCAGGCCAATGTGTCTCGAGGGAAAGCTATTAAAGCTCTCAAAAATAACCAGAATGACATTGTTAATGCTATTATGGTAAGTTTTACAGAAGCAATTGTACTTTTTCTTCTTTAGAATAAGATATGATGATTCATCTTATGGTTTCGCAATTATTTTTATCACAATCAGAATTTAAACATTGTTGCAAATCTTGGCAGACTGATTATACATTTACTTCATAAAAGTTTTACTGTAAACTGTTCGAAATATTGACTTTTCGATTCTTTCAGGAATTGACAATGTGATGAAGCTGCGTAGCAGTAGGGTGCGCTACTACATACGTCGTAGTTCACATTGTGAGGTCATCTTATTATATCATCCGCGTTGTCAGGAAGAAACATCATCCTTTTTGTCTCATTACATTGAAAGGATAAGTTCGAATACCGAGAGACCAGAGTTCGCATAGAGACCGTGATGCTTGTCTCGAAAAATCCACATGTATATACATAATTCATATGAAAAAAATATACTAAGGACATTACCTTGTTCGTTTCTTTCGCAGAATTACCTTAAGTAGTAGACTACAGATTTAAGGACAACGCACATGATAATTCAAATATTGATTCACTGCATTATCACAGATAAGTGAGTAATATTTATCAAAAGAGCAATTGAAACAAATTTTTATTTTACGTATCCTTGTGATAAACAAAGATTTTCTATCGTATATGTAGCCTTAAAATATTCTATGTTTCATGTAAGATAGAGCATTCACCAAAAATATTTGATCTTACATTCATTCTTGTAACTAGAGAAATTAATTTTAAGTTCACAGCCATTAGCTTGGTATTACAAATAATTTTATTAATAAATTTATCGCTGAGTTCAGCCGTGTGTACTTTTATTTATAAATCGTTGAAATTCTAATTGTACATCATACATCTCACACACACGGGGTCTCTTCAGCATGCTTCGGGGGCTCCGTGACCCCCGCTCTCACCCCACGTGATCAATGGCGCCTCCGTGACCCCATGCTCTCACCGTGCAGGGTCTATGGCGCCTCCAGCGGGGGCTCCGTGACCTCACGTTCTCACTAAAAATATAGAGCAGATATGCAAGACTTCCAACGAAATAATAAATAATATATATATATATATATATATATAATATAAATAATAAATATAGTCTTTTGTAGTAAACACTTTTTATTCACTAATTATGAAGATATGCAATAAATTACTTTAATAATGAATTCTGTCGTTAAATGTGAATTACCTTAATGTAGCTCCGGCATGATTTGACGTTTCGCGTTGCCTGCAACTTTTGAACACGACCATTGAAACTTAATATTTGTGAACATGTCGCGAGGTAGTAGTGCTGGTTTTGATAGGCATATTACTATATTTTCGCCTGAAGGACGGCTTTATCAAGTGGGTAAGATGTGTAAAAATATAAATACAAGTCAAAAATTTTATTCTTGATGGTTTAATGGTCTCTTTCATATTATTTATTAAGTTACTGATTCTCAAACCGGGAATCATGACATGGCGTGATGTGCAATTTTGAACCTGTTGACAAATGATTTGCTAATATTTTTCAGAGTATGCGTTTAAAGCAATAAACCAGGGTGGTCTAACATCCGTCGCTGTTAAAGGAGTCGATACTGCTGTTTTTGCGACTCAGAAAAAAGTGCCTGTAAGATAACCTCTTTTTGTACTTATTGTTTTCATTATTTTTCTTCTTTTTTCATGCTCCTTTTGTAATGTATTATTGGATAATTTCATGTAATTCTAGTTATAAACTCTTGTAAATGATGTAAATGAAACTTGTAAAATTTTGAAAACATTTGTTTATAGGACAAGCTACTCGATGCTACCAGTGTTACTCATGTTTTCCAACTCACAGAACATATTGGATGTCTCATGACAGGCATGATAGGTGAGTAGAATTATTAAAACATTATTTGCGACTTAAGAACATTTTCTATTATCTTAAATGCATAATTATCTCAATTATTCACTTATGTTGTTTAGCAGGGCATTCCCATTAATAGAATGATAAAGTAGTTCTTGTTATGAAAAATATAAAAGTAGACAACTATAAAATCTGGAGAAAGTTTCCATAAATTAAATGTTAAAAGATAAATTAGAAAGTAACATATATATGTTATTGGTATATTTTATGTTTCAGCTGATAGTAAATCTCAAGTACAACGAGCTCGGTATGAAGCAGCTCACTTTAAATACAAGTATCATTATGAAATTCCTGTGGATGCATTGTGTCGTCGTATTGCCGACATTAGTCAAGTGTATACACAGAATGCAGAGATGCGGCCTCTTGGATGCTCTATGATGCTTATTTCATATGATAAAGAGAAAGGCCCCTGTGTTTACAAGGCAGACCCTGCAGGATATTTCTGTGGCTATAGAGCTGTTTCTGTTGGTGCTAAACAGACTGAAGCTAATTCTTATCTTGAGAAAAAATTGAAGAAGAAACAAAATTATGATCATGATGAAACAATACAGTTAGCTATTACATGTTTATCTACTGTTTTATCTGTAGATTTCAAACCAACAGAGATAGAAATTGGTGTGGTATCAAAGGACAATCCCAAATTTCGGTAATTATATTAGATCCTACTAATTATGTCTTATATGCAAACATTGTATGACTAAAGGTTGCATATATTTGACTGTTTCAGAACTTTAACAGAACAAGAGATTGATAAACATCTTACTGCAATTTCTGAAAAAGACTAATTATTTTATGTATAATTCTACAGAAATAAATGTCATGTCTTGCTTAATATACTTTTTTACTCCAATACTTTAAACATAAAAACAAGTATTGTACTAGATTACACATGATTGTTAATAGATAAATAAATTATAAACATCTCTAGCTTATATTAAAAAGTTTATTTTTAGTGCATTATCCTTATTACAAATTATAAAATTAGAAACTTAGGCAAAATTTATTTTCCTGATGCTGTGGCCAATGGATTTCTCAGAACTAAAATAACAGAATCTCCTCTTAAAAACATTTTAGAGATGAATCTATCTTTGTTTACTGGTTTTGCCTAAAGAAAACAAATGGAATTGTATATTTTGACTACATGTGCCTGTAAAACTTGTTTAAATATTAACTATTATTATTATACCTTTTTCTTTCCTTTTCCTGTACGTGGAAGTTCAGTCCACATCTCTTTTACATTTTCTAAAACCATATTACAGTGTCTATCAAATGCTTTTACTCTTCCCAGCAATTTTTTGTTGTTCCTGCAATTAATTAGAACTTGTGTGTTGTTTTTCACAGACTGAGTTAAGACTGAAAGAGGTCCAGTATTGAATTCTTCTTCCTCCCTTTTTGCCAGCTCCTCAGGAGTCATTTCAGATTTTGGTTTAGTTAAAGAAGACCTGCAATATAAGTAATTTGATCAAACAAAACAGGTAAAGTATTAAAATTGTTTTCGCAATTCACGAATAATATTTATGAAAAAACACAAAGATTCAAATAGATAATTGAGGTTATACTTTTTTGGTTAGATACGCAAATAGATTAAAATCGAAGAAAATATTGCTTAAATACCTACATTTTAATGCTGTTGTTCTATACAAAGAAATGACAACGAAATTCTGTTTTCGAAAAAAGTATTATCACAATATACACTGATTATATTTCGATAGCGTGACATCCAACAGATCCCTTGCATGTATATAGCAATTCTGGAGCGTTACTTTGATTTACCGTTCTTTATAATAGGTTATGTTATCTGAATTATTTTAGGTAAATTAAAATGTATCTATTTACGGATATAATACATAATATTGAGTACTTAATGAAACATGTTCATATATTTGAAAGTTGCCTTTACGTAGTTTCTTATACATTAATGACAATTAATTATATTCAGAAAACTACAGTACATACATAACATATTAATATTTTATCTGTAAATTTTTAATTTCAATTAATTTGACTTTCACACGTTTACACATGTATGTATAATAGTTTATTTCATAATTAATTCAGAAGTTTAATAAAGTATTTCTGGGATTAAGTTTGTAAATATTCTTACAGTATCGATGGCGATACATTTTTTATTTGATTTTAGTATATCATCAGAGAAAATAAAAAATGAAGACATCTCGTCAAAAAAAAGCAAGAAAGAATCTAGGATTTTTCATTAATAATTTTAAATTTCGACCGCCGTTTCAAATACTTATCGACGGTACATTTGCGTTTGCTGCGTTAGAGGTTTGCTCATATACAGTTCATTTAAAATTTATAAGATTGTCATTCGAATTGATTATTTAAATAATTAATAATCTTTTAATTTTATTCAGAATAAATTTAATATACAAGATCAGTTATCAAAATATTTTCAAGCTGAAGTTAAATTATTAACTACACCATGTATAATATTGGAAACAGAGAAGCTTGGATCATTTTCTAAGGCAGTTACTGGTGCTATGCAAATAGTTAAACAATATCCTATACACAAGTGTGGACATGAAAAACATTCAATTACTGGCACACAATGTTTACAATCAATGATTGGAACAAACAATTCATCTAGGTACTGCATAAATGTTTTGCAAGTTTTCACTACCTATATTTTTGTACATGACATTTTAAAAATTTTACAGATATATTATAGCCACACAGGATAGAGAACTTCAAGGTATTTTAAGAAAAATTCCAGGCATACCAATAATATATTTACATGGTAAAGCTCCAACTTTGGAAGCTCCTTCACAAGTAACTCGTGAATATGCTGAGAAAATTCGTAAAGGATTAGGTATGAGTACTTGGGAAAAAGAAAATATTAAAACTCTGAAGAAAGCAGCAGGCTTAGAAGAAAACACAGAAAAGAAGTTGCAGAAGAAACGGAGAAAAGGTGGTCCCAATCCACTTAGTTGCTTGAAAAAAAAGAAGAAATCACATACAGAAATTCCAAAGAATGTAATAAACAAATCTGGAAAAGTTAAGAAGAGAAGGAAAGTTAAGTTAGCTGCACACATTAAGGAAACATTAGCATCTGAAATTAAAAATAAGCAGGCAGAAAAAGATACAAAAAGCTGAAAACTATTGAGAATGTACGCGAACCAGATATCGGAATTTATGTAAATAAATTTCATTTTTATTTGTAATACAATCGTCTTTCTCCAATTTATAATATTAAAAGTAATCAGAATGGTACTGTGATATATTATTACTAGTACAAGATGAGTTTACTCATGAATACAAAAGATGTGCTAAAGTATGGAGCAAATCCATTAGCATTACTAAGACCAATATTCCTCACCTTCCTACCATTAAGATGTATCACTAGTGTGATACACGTTCAATATTAAAAAATAAATGATTACGTAGGACATGCATTGAGAACTAAAAACTGTGAAAACGACTAGGGAAGACCTACTGAATGGGTAAGGAGAGTTGCTGGGTCTTGAATACGTCAAAGGAGTTGCTCCGTACTTTAATGTTAATGATAAAAATGTCATTCTTAAATACATAGAATATCACACAGTTGTTTCATCTATACCCGACAAAGAATACGTCCTACTCTAAACGTATGTGACATTAAGGATGTTGATTCAACAGTGCGCGTGCAGCCATTGCCAACATTTTCATACGCCGAGTAGAACTGTGATTAGGATTAGCTGCGATAAATGCGGCCAATTGACTTTGCAAGGTCATTAATACGGTACCCATGTGCTCTCGCGTGACTGGATTATTAGGATCTAAGTTTAATATTGCCTCTTCAAGCCACCTATTAGAAAGTCAATAATATTCAGAAATTATTACGATATGTGTTGTTAAAACAAAGGCTCACCTGTGCTTGAGTTCTGTACGGTGACCTAAGTCTGCAGATAATTGTTGCACAAGTGAAAGTATTACAGGTTGTTGTAAAATACATCTAGGACCTTGATCTGGTCCTACAGGACAAGAAAATACTCTGGCGGGTTCAGTCTTTTCACAAACTAGAACTACCAATCCTAAATCACTTGCGCTTAAAGCTTGTTGAAAGGCAGCATTTAATTGTCCTCTCAGGAGAAGGGACATAACCCGTGATTGAGCGTCGGCAACAGCAGGTACTGGTATAGCAGGAGTAGTTGCTCTTGAACTGTAAATTATATAATTAAGTATATATTCTTTTTGCAAAGTGAATTTAAATTTTAGTCGCTTGTAAGTACCGTGCATTCGTGATCTCGTTTAATTGATGATTTAAATTATCCCTAATGGATTCGCGAATTGTATGTAGTGTTCCTTCTTGCAGAGAAGTTAAACCTCTGCTCAGTTCAGCTTGTAATTCTTCACGAACTAGTCCAGACAATGCCTCGCTCTGTTGTTTATTTCGTTGTTGATATTGCTTATCTATAATTGCTTCTACACTTTGGAGATCTGTAAAAATGGAGGTAGGTATTGGCTGAAATTGATTATATATTGCGTACTTTATATAACGTATACAACCCGTTTCTTACATTCTTGTGTACCTCTGGCAAAGGAGTCTTGTACTTGTCTAAACATTGTCTGACACGCTTTCTCCATGCCAGGTAAGAGAACGTTAGTGAAAGCTTCCTTAAATGCTATATCTAGTGCTGGTTTCACCGCATTCGCTGCCGCTATTGCGAGTGTATCCTTGACATGAGCGCTATTAATTAACTCGGTTAAATTTTCTTTTAAAAGTTCATCCATTCGAGCGGTATCTAATCTAAGCTGATGCTTCAATGGTTCCACTGTGTCTTTGATGACACGCGGCATGGTGATTTCAATTTTATCCTTAATCGCTGTTTCAAGTTTTATTAAACTGTACAATATTTGTTCGTAATCTTTTTGCTGTTGGTTAGCTAAAGCTAGAGTAGATTCTATTCGATCCGAGATAGATGTTTCTTGTTTAGTAATTTCTGCGTATAACATCCTCAAACTTGCTCGTGCTTCCTGTATCAAGTCTATAATGACCTCTAATTTATCTACTAAGCCATGTTTGAATTCGTTTGTTGTTTCATATATATATTTAACACCTCCCGAGGTATGTGTTGCAGATTTCGATTCGTTTATTAATTTTGTTCTTTTCTCTTCTTCACCCGTGTAATCCTCGGCCTCCTGCATCGCATGCCTGCTCACGTCTTTCAATAACACCCTAGGAATATTAGACCAATCTCCATCAGCCGTGTCGGTGACATCAGGTTTATTCTCAACCTCCGGTTCTTCATCTAATTTCGTAAGAGATAGAATATCTCGGACCTCTCTGGATGGACTGCTACCACTGCTAGCCGGAGCTTGTTCTTCTAACTCGCTGGTTACCAGTGGAGGTTCTGCTGCGTTTAGAGCTTGTACAGCTTGCGCCAGGGAAGGACTAGCGGCTAGGCCTTTACTTAGTTCTGGACTACCAGATCGAGAATCCAGTTCATTATTTTCTTTTTTAGCTGGCGAACTAAATGCATCAGGTGTCATTAAATTTAATCCAGCATTATGATTAGCCGCTGTTTCAATCGTAGCGGATAACGAGCGATCTTCTTCGCAGTTTTCTCCAGCAATTCCATTGTGATTGGCAGTTCCCATTTCCGGGAAGTCTTCGGAACACTCCAGTGCATCACGGGCGAGCGTGTCCATAAGACACTTATTATTCGTTTCAGAGACAGGTTTAAAGGCAATGTGACACTCTTGTAGCGACCTTGGTTGGACTAGATACATTTTGATAACTAGTTGCTCGTCGGCTTCTTCTTCACAAGGCCGCAAGTCTTCTAATGATCCACCAGTGGAACGTATTTTGCGCAGACCAGCGTCAACGATCCCAAAGCACAGTATCGGATATGGTAGAAGTAACTGTGATATTGTACTTACAGATGCTGATGCTTCTCCATTGTCTTTTGTCAGACTTAATATATAGAGAACTCTATTGAATAAATCTGATAATAAAAGGTATCCCGCACTAGGATCTAAAGCTGCTTTTAAAACAGGCAATTTGCCAGTAGAAGGTGTTGGTGCAAATGTTATGGTCTGCAGACAAGTCCATAATTCACAAGACCATACTTTTAATTCTGTATTATTGTCACATCCAGTTACAGCAAACCTCCAAAATTGTACGCTAAAGAATAAAATATTTTATTCTCAATACTTATGTTATTGCATTGGTAGTGTTAAAACAACGATGTATTGTTTAAAGTTACTTACTCAGGATGGTATGTTTTGTGATCGTCCAGGAAGAATAGACATGAGATTGGACGTCCACCATGTGGTCTCCAGTGGTGCAAACAACGTGGTCGAACTTGATTCCCATGAGAATTGTCATGCAAATGAACTTGGAAGAATTTCACTTCTCCATCAGAACTGGCTGTAGCTAAAGCTGTGCCATCAGGACTAAAAGTTGCTTCAATGATTGTACCAGAATGTTCATCAATTTCAAACATGCCTCCGTTTTCCTTTGCTGCCGGATCAGTTGCCTATCATACAGTCAAACAGTTTCATACTATTTTTCACTTTGTATGGGTTTTATAATCTGTAAGTAAGGTACACATTCACCTCTATTGATCTGAATCTTGATGTAACGGTATTAACTGACCACAACTCTGCCTTTGAACCACGTATTAAAACTAAGAGTTTTGATACTTCATCTCCATCGGATGACACATCTTCAGGTATATAAGGACACCATATCACACGATGATAAACACTAGGTTCTGCATCCACTTGTAATAATAAATTACATAACAATTCAGATGGTGTTGATTCAATGGTATATATAAAAAGATTTCCCAAGTAATCGACACATGCTAAAATAACATTTGAAACATGTGCAAAAGCCAAGTCTTGTATTCGAGCACGCATTTCCCTTAATAGTGCTCTCTGTTCTAATTCTTGATACATAACTCTGACTCTACCTCCTCCAGTAGCAACTGAATAACATTAATATAACATTAAACTTAGCAGGTAACAAGATACTTAATTCTTCTTTAAATATAAGTTACCTGTTATTCCATAAGCTAAATATTTCCCAGACATATGAACAGCCAGTAACTGGTTTGGGTAAAGGTTAACATCCCATGAATAATCAACAATATTTTTTATCTTCACCTTTGAACTACCATGATTGTGACCTCCGGATGAAGGAATGACAGTAACATCGTTCCCATATAATTCCACTGAATATTGGTCTTCTTGTCCACTGAATTCTCTGTACATAAATACAATCTCAACAAACAGAAGTATCGAGTCCCATTAACAGAGAAATAAATAATGAAACCAATAAATATCATTTACAGAATATATAAGGCAATACAAAATTAATGTATATCTTTTACTTGATTTATATATCCTGATATACAGGTGAAAGGAAACTTTGAAATAAGGAGTATTAAAATACAAGAAAGTACATAAAAATATAAAGGTCTATCAATAACAATAGGTAGTTGAATCAAAAGGGAACTTAATTAAGTACTTACACTGTTTGATTACAGTGAAGATGCCTTAGGTTATCTTCGCCTGTTTTGATCATTTTGCCAAATGCTACTGCGTGCCCTAAAAAGTGGCAATGTTAATGGACGATTCTACCTCCAGCCGGTGGTACGCCTGATAACGATATAATTTCGCCGGTCTCACCTTTCTTATGGAAAATTTGCCCGATTGAAAAATCGTTCCTGGCGATTGATCGTCTGCTGGAAGAAACGACGCGTGTATTAGCGTTTCATTTATGGGAATGATTAACGTGTCCCGTGAATCATAATTCAATAAAATTAACGAAAGAGAAATGTCAGGCGGCCATCAGCCACTTGTCAGAAAAACAGGCCGGAAGTGTATCGACGGTATTTTATACGGTTCGCGCTATGTGGCGCTTCTTGTAAACTTAACTTTAAGCGTCAATCACCGTATGCGTTTTTCATTTTTTTTTTAACGCAACGCGACTGTTATATAGTTTTTAAAAATATTTATTTTATTTAAACATATTACGAGATACTTACCATTTTCCATAGATACAATTATCATCTTTGGACATTATACTATTCACGATAATCATTTTGAAATAGTCTATGAAATAGACTGACGAATTTTCTTGGAACTACTTCCGGTCAGCTATTCGTTAATTCCATAATATGATATTATGTATAAATTACGTTTAATAATTATATACCGAGTTAAATTTATGTATATATTTTTAATAATGTGGGAGATTTACATTTTTTATATTGTATATATATATGTATATATAATGTATATTATATATGTATATATATTATATATAATAACAATTGATTCTTTTTCTGTGTAGAGGATTTTCTATTGAAATGGAAACTTACAGAAAGTTGTATATCATAATTTACATTTTATTTCGTATATTACACTATAATAGACAGGCTGTTCTTCCCATACGCGACTATCTCTTGGAAAATGGCAGTAGTGCTCAAACATACGTAGACCCAAGACAATTGGCAGTAAATCCATCTAATCCGAATATATTTTTTTAAAATTGCGCTTAACAACTACGAATCCGTATATTCTCTGAATGAAATCGTCCCTGATGGATCGGTCTAAATATAATCATTTTTATTGTGATTTCTTGAATTTTAAGTTGTTCGAAATTTCTATTTTTATCGAGTTATTAAATGCATGCTTTATCATGAAATAATAAATCTTCGAAACTATGAATATTTCTTGTTTTTTTCTTCTGTCTCTTAAGATTTTAATCACGGTGCAGAACTCTAATTGAATTACGTATTTATCCAGCGTAAAGTGAACGTTCAACAGAAATCTCATAACAGTCACTACTATCTCATATTTTTAATAAATTAAGAAATCAATTATTCGATTCTACATAAGAAATATCTCTTTCGTTAGTTTACCAAGGCATTTTTTATTCTTCCATTGACAGTAACAAATTTGCTCGTTGAACAACGTGATACTTTTACTTGCCACTTAGCTAAGCGCGCGTAATAGTGAAAAAAAAAAATAAAGAAGGAAATAATTGACGAGCACTATTGTCAATCTCAATGCAGGTTAGCTTCGAAATACAGGGCGATTTATTTGAACCTTTAATCGACATTAACAGCTATTTAAATATCTAGTACAGGAAGAGGAAATAAGTCACTTCCTTGTACTTATCGCGTTAGTGGTAAAATGCGTCACCCTGTATCATGTATATGTATATAGTTTGTAACGGGTAGTTCGGAATACTCGAAGAGAAAATAGAATTATCTCTGCTCGGGGTGAAATCGAACATATCATATTCTGATTGGAAAAAAAAAGCAAGTCCCGTCGTTTCGTCCCAGCGAATTAGCTTCCCGCACCGTACATTCTTCTTTATATCGTAATATCGTACAACGACAAGCACACTGAGACACTGCGCCAATCCGATAGAAAAACTGATATTTTTAATTATTGTGCCGACAGTGTTCGTGGTTTCGCGGCGAGGGAGCGCGACACGTTATTATACATACATATACATGCTCACCCGAATTCATCCATCGTGGATCGTCGATCTCCCTTGCCGGAATCGTCTCGCTAATGGTTAACGACTTAACGGTTAAGACCTTAATGGTCGTATCATTATACGTAAGCGTAATATTTCGATTCGTCTAACGAGAGCAACTATATGTAATTAATTTAGTCGTTCGTATTTATCGCTAGAGGAGGGTAACGCGTATTGTAACGATTGTAAAGAGGAAACGATCATTCTTACAAGAATCCCCCACGTAAATTATAGAAATTCCATGCACGAATGTATCAATCGTGATACCTGATTCTACGCGTTCGGTCTGTAAAGTTGATTAATTCGTGAACGAAGAATTAAAAGGTCTAACCGAAGGTGATGGAAGGTGATAAAGAACATCTAAGCTTCGTTAAACGTTAAATGGATCTCAACAACGAGCTGGTCCCTGCGGGATGTTAATTGGAATCTTACTTCTTTATTACATTTTTTGTTTTTGTTCTCTCTCTCTCTCTCTCTCTCTCTCTCTCTCTCTCTCTCTCTCTCTCTCTCCCTCTCTCTCTTTCTGTCACTTACTTTCTCTCTCTCCCTCTCTCTCTATATGTATATATAGCATGACAGGTGGTACGCGAGAAAAATTACTGGTGCGAATGGTTTCACTTTGACTCTATTGTCAGAGAAGTCGTGTTTGCGAAGTGATCGAAGCATGCTAATCGATATTGCTACGGTTTCTCAAAATACATTATGGCTCGTATATAATTCTCTCTTGAAATTGACACTTCAGCGTGGGAAAGAAACTGTAACGAGTGCTCAGAAATGAATCAAACTGTTGAGACTGTAGATTTATAGTTAATTATGAATTACAATTAATCTAACGGCTGAAAAAAAAACAGTTACTCTTTTATTTTCAATTTAATAAACCAATCTACGCTTTATGTAAACTATGAGTTTACATAAGCCACTACAGCTTATAACGACGAGATCCAGTTTTACTTATACACGCTACTCTCGGACGGAAAATTTGAAAAACACTTGTAAACTATCATCCGTGAAATTCCTGACAGTCATTCGGTCATTTATTCTCGATGGAATAAAAGGTATGCATTAGGAGACTAAATAAAAATGAAGATATGGCATTTCGGAGCACTCGCAAAGACGAGTGTGTGTATGTGTTAACTACAAGAAAACTACAAAATGGCGGAGGCTGTTGTACGCAACATGACGAGAATGTTTGTATGAAAATTTTTATAAACCGCGATACTGATTTATATCCGACACGTTCACCGATCCGATTTTGATTATTCGATAATACGTTGTTTCTAATACCTAACGATACGGTAGCATTACACGATCCACTTTTGTGCTTTAATTATTCAACGTAGTGGTACAGGGTATAAAAGAAATTACAATCCGGAGCTCTGGATATTCGTTAAATAAATTAATTACATTTTTCTAGATACATACTTTCCTGGATATCGTATTCCATTACCATTTTAATTTCCCGTCTTCTACTCTGCTACGATTAAGTTAAAAAATGGATCTTAAATACAGATCTTTCATTTCTTTACACCCTGTCCAGTTGCAATCATAATACGTGGATGTTATTAGAGGTAGGCAGCGTGTGATAGGTGATAGTATTTACTAAAAAAACAAAACAAACGAAGACTTAACAGTCTACTTAAAAAATTATACGTCCATTGTACAGATCAACGGGATAAGTAGCTCTAAACGGAAAAACAATACGCACGAATTGTACGACGTACTCTGCACGCGCGCTGTCTCGCTGATATGCTTACAATATATTGCTATCCAGCGTCTGGATAAATAAATAGACCGGACAAATAAATAAATAAATAAATAAAAAATAAATAAGTAAATAAATAAATAAATCGCTCACGAGTTACGTCTAAGCTTCCGTACAAGAACCCTAACGTTAAGAGAGGAAAGTATAAGATCCTTTGATTGTTGGACGGAGTCGTGCAAAAAAGAGGAGCGATCTCAGATTTCTTTGTCATGGGGGTGTAAGTCGAGGGTGTACGGACCATAAACGCTAACAAATATTGTATAAATAAATATATATAATACACAACAGACATATTCAACACTTAATTAATATAAAACTACGTTTCACGCCTCATCTCCATAACAAACTATATTGGATTGAGTTAGAAATAACCATCGCGTTGCAAGTGGTGAATATTCATTGAAATTCAAGGATATACAATAAATTCAGTTGATCATGTCACCGTCTTGAACGGAAATAAGTTCCGTAAACGAAAGACAAAAATCATTTATAGCTCAACCCAATATTTATCTAAAGTACTAGTCCGTTCATCCTCGAGTTAGCTTGGTACAATCTTCTCTCGGTGAGAAATAAACATCCTTGCCACATTTCTACGCATCGTAAGAGGAGAAACAATGATTATAGAAGTTACACTTACGTCTCAGCTAGGTAACATTATCTATGAGATTATTCTCTTTTGCATGATACCGTACGATCCTTCGCGCGGATACACGGCCGATGGTACAGTAGTTGTACTCGCGTATGTGCAAAGCGGTAGACTCAAACATGAAACAGAGGATGGACCGTACGAATACAAAAAACGATTGAAACATTTGTCTCTTGGTTCGTCGAGCCTCTCGAAGCACGACCGTCGACGAGCCTACCGCTGTCCCTAACTCTACGATGAAAGATGCTTTCCTTTTCTTCTTCTATTATTATTATTAATTATTATTATTCTCAAAAAATACTGTACACAAGAATACCTAAAAGTTACATCGAAGCTCGTCCATTGGCGCTCGAACGAGCACTGAAGCACTGCAATTACATACGTACGACCGAACCGACACTCTTCTTTGTCTCGTTTTCTTTTTGAATCGGGAAAGGATAAAAACAGGCGGAACGACGTTCAAGAATTACGATAGGGTGAACTTTGTTACTTGTTCCTTTTGATGTTTCCGGCTTTCGTCTTTCGGGGAATGTTCACCTTCGCAGAAAACGGAAGAAGCCTCGACCTTTTTCCGGCGGTGGCGCCATCAGCATCGGGACTTGGTTTTTATGCGTTATGTGAATCTAAAATGATCAAGAAGAGTTCGGCATTCTACTTTCCGGTTGCTACAACTGGTTGTTTAGCACGTTCGCTACCAGCTACTGGATCTACCATCTAGTTATTGGATGTCGTTAAAGTTAATTTAAAAAATTAGCGTTAAAATTAATTTTCAAAGTTGGGTACAGTATATCGTATCCCAAGATCCGTATTCGTCCAATTCCTCCTATTAACATTTTTAGCAGAGAATATTTCTTTGGTACAATTAGGATATAAGAGAGCAAATATTTTTCAATTTTAATAAATGAAATTTACGCGGGCGACATTGAAGGATAATTATCCGCAAAGTGGACTCACAGTGCATGGACCCTGCATCCACGGTTCGCCATCGATTTGCATGGGGAACCGTTTGCTCGTGGTAATGGTGACGCTGCTACACTGAGCCAATCTTCTCCCGGAATGACGAAGACCCGTCTTCACTTGACCCATGTGCAAACAATTCTCCAGACCAATCACCTCTATCAGATTGTCTCCGATATCTATACGAAATTTCGATTCTATTGTTACTGCTCGATCAAGGACTCAGCTGAAATCTTTAGCAAACAGTTAGGTACCTTGTATCGCGGCTGTTAGATCCACCGAATTGAAGCTACTGGTGCTGAGCTCTTTGTCCGGCCGTTTTTTCCGTTTACCAAGACGATGCCTCGAGTGGTGCTCACCCCAGAGATTCGAGCCTCCGTGAGTGAAAGGAATGTTCAGTAAAGCGACTCCTTGGAGGGACGGACCATGGGCCAGATCCAATGGAGTTCCATCGCACTACGGACAAATCGACGCGTGTTGTCGTTCGAACGATAATTTGAAAATTCGACGATTCGAAAAAAGTGTAAAGTTACACTTACGACGATCTCGAGATCCTCGTGAAGATTCTTACAACTAGCGGCGAACTGTTCCGTGGTAGCGTACTCGAAGTACCAGAGCTTGTTCTTCATTCGACTGTTGAATTTCTCTGGATTTTTCTCCCTCTCCAGATGGAACTTCACGCAGATCGCCGCGTCGACGCCCACAGAGAAGTAATTATTGATAATATTGTACGGTATGCAGTCCTGATTAGGTTTCTTCTCTTCCTTCTGGTCCAGGACCTCGATCTGCCATCGGTCCATCATCACGGGCGTCGCCTTTTCTATTTTCTTGAAACCCATACCCTTTAGAATCCTACTTAACCACTCTTTTCTACTTGATCATAAACTGTTATTTCAAGTGTTTGCGTATTTATTTCCTTTTTTCGACAAATCAATTGAAATTCGATAAAAGCCCAATCTCCATACAGGATCACGTTTAAAAAGCTTAATCGAATTCTATTAATTTGTTGACAAAATCCATCATACCTGAAAAGAAAAGTTTATATTTCACCTACTTTGAGGACTTTGTGAATGGCTTCTCCTTCGTAGCCACCGCCCCATCGCAGACATCTCGCGAGATCGTTCCCTGTACCGAGTGGGATGACGCCTACAGCGGGCTGATGTTCGAATTGAACGCGATCTAAAATTTAAAAATAACCGTGTCAGTGAGAAAATTCTCAATGTCGATTCCTTTAATATTTTCATTATATCTTTAATCGTACCCATAGTTTCGAGGACCCAGCCGACCGTACCGTCACCGCCGCAGCAGATCACCTTGAAGTTCTCCACGTCCTTGAACATCTGCAGACCCTGCATGGGTCCGCCCATGGCCAAGTTGTGGACCTGTCGCGGGTTCAAGATATATTGGAACTTCCTCAGCATACGTTCCCCTTGTCTACCTCCGGATTTTGGGTTTATGAACACCAGAAGCGGCACAGTAGCAGGGGGAGGCGTGATTTGGAAAGACATCGCTGGCTGTTGCGTCGAAGCGTTACTGGAGGTTAAGAACCCGCTCTGAGGAAGCAATACATATTTTCGATCTGTTCAAGGTTATTAACATTCAATGGAAAACGTTTATGCTACTACAAACTAATAAACGTGGCCTAAAATATATAATTTCTACGATACATCATATTTTCTTCATGGCAGACAGGAGGCCTAATACAGTAAGTCGTTGATAAGGTTCGAAGGTCTCCAGGTGCGACGTTGGTTTTTTAACGAGGTTTAGCACAATGATAGAGCTTGGAATTCTAAAGTCAATGATAATTCTTTCAGCTGCATACAGCCTTTAGTTTATGAAATATTTAATGTTCAGTGTCGAGGAGGTTTTGAACACTTATCGAGGATTTACTGTACTTATGAGCGGTAGTGTACGTTCTCTAGTGAAGAACGAAGACTGTTCAATGGGACGTGTCTACTTACGGAGCTGACGGAAGACGAATCTTGACCGTGCTTGCTCTCCCTTTTGCTGTCCCGCGAGAACGATCGTTGTCTGTCCAGTACGATCGGACAGATCGCGGTCGGCGGAAGAATATGGATCGCGTATTCACCGAGCGTGCATTCTGTTCTCACTTGCGACACGCATCTGTTGTGCAACTGCAAAGTCACCGTTCCGTGAATATGGGCTCTTGAAGATTCAACGTGTCGTTGAAAATCGTGCATTTCGTTTCATTTGCCGTCTGTGCAGTTGACTCGATGGATTTCTGTCGCGTGAAAGATTCTTCTCGCGCGCGGCAGAAATTCATGGAGAAGACAATGATAACGGAATGATTACTCACGGTCAATTGACACCATCTGCAGTGCAGACCCGTGATACCGTTGTAACTCTTGATGGTCTTCCGACACTTGGAACATTTCCCGTGACAATTGCCCTCGACCCAGTGATGCGCCATCGTCTGCGACGTCTTCTTGCTCTTCACGTACGTCGCGATGCAAGAGGCTGGCGCTCTTTGAACGCATCGTTCGTGAACCGTGTACTTGCAAACTGTACGACACACAGTGAAAGAATTTTACTTGTCACTCTCTAATGAAGACTGACCTTTTTTCATCTTTCTTGAAATTACGAAGAATCCGTTTTTTTGTGCTTAAATCGTTAAGTGTATTTCCTCGTTACAGTGACTACTTTATCAGTTTAGTGACAATATTTGGAACATTTCTTGACGATCGGCAGTATAAACTTTCTTTAACCCTTTCGATACGGCCATGTTTGTCGAGGCCAGTACAAACATGGCTAATTACACATCTACAAATAGCCGTGTAATTAGACACACCGACATATTTTCTACTAATATACCTAAACAATAAGCATAAATTCGCCTTGAGTGCAAATTTACAATTGACTGGAAGGAAACGCACTATAAGCCGTGGCTTGAGATCCGAACCGACGGCAGTAAAAATGTTAACCGGTTCGAAAATGAATCGTGAAAATCAGTAAAAGTGTCCAATGGAGAGCGAGAATTGGCCAGAATCGACGTCTCTAAAATGTTTCATCGTGATTTGTCGAAAGGTAAATATGAAAGAAAAAACAACGTTATACGTAACGAACGTTCTGTGAGTTTTGTTTCATGGAGTTGATTAGCTCGTTTTTGGGACTGAAGGGGAAAGAGAGAGACCGACACCGGAATACTCACAGACGCAACAGAGTCCTTTCTTGCCAAGACCGACTAGCATATTCAAACAGAGATTGCAGTAGGCGGGTTTGCTGAAGTGCTTTAGCCTCCAGAGATGATTCCCGTCCTCTTTCACGTGGGAATCCAGGCCCAGAAGCACAAGCAACGGGATCGTCGTGAGACCACCCCGTTTCCATTCCTCCAACGACACTGTGCCATCCGCGTCGTAGTCTATTTCGATCATCATGTCTTGCAGTATCTATAAATACCGTCGGGATTTATACCTAGATATCGCTCGTCAATTTTGCCCCCCTTCATCTTCCCGTTTTGTGTAAACAAAATGTCGGGATACCGGGTCTATCCACCGTGGAAACGCGATATTACTTTTCTATTTGTGCCAACGGGGATGATTCTCTATCTCTATCTCGAAGATCTCGCCGAGATACCGTTCGGGATCTTGTCTTTTCTTACCGTGAAACCGGAATCTCGACGGATTTTGCTGGCTTATCGGTTAAATGAAAAAAAAAAAACAAAGAAAAAAGAAACTCGGGTAAAATAGATATTGAAGTAGTACTTCAAATAAACTTCGTAACGCAGTAGAGGCTGCGTGGTTTCTATAAATTGAATTTTTTGCTTTTCCGAGGATCCGAAGTTTCGCGATGTCGGACGTTGAAAATTCTCGTGAGACGGACATCGAAAGTTTTGTCGATCGATATATTTCGCGAAATAATAGACATTTTCTTTGATCACTGAAAAATGTCCTTGAAAAATGTCCTACTTTTTAATACTTGAAATTACTAAAAATAAGAAATCATTAAAATACAACTATTTTGTTACATTTTATACAAGAAACAGATGTCTGTGCAACATGGGATTTTACTTGTTGTTCAATACTGCGGTTCAAAGAGTTACAGGGCATCCCGTGGGTCGTTATCGTTCCGCGAATTTCAGGTGAAAATCATTCATGTTCGCACTCACCGGTTTCAATTCCGAGACGTCCCATCCGAGATACTCGGCGACATTCATCATCTGATTGACAATGCAGTCCATCTCCTGGGGGACACGCGATAATGATATTAAATGCAGGGCTACGATTGATAACGCCTCGCCCCTCCTCCCCTCTCTGGTATCGATCTATTTCACGTTAGCGACAGCTGCCGCGATGGCAGATTTATCTATCGTTAATGTGCTCGTGAAACTTTGAACGTTTTTCTACTGCGGTGATATATCAAGTGCTGTTATTAATAATGATCGATGCTTAATGGAAATACGCCGGATAATTAACATTTTCGAAATTTCACCTGTTAACTAACGAGACTGGGTTGTTTGTGAGACGTCGTCGTCTCTACCATTAAATCAGATCGCAATTTCTTGAATTTTGGAAACACCCCCTCGTATTTTCAATTACTCGAAAAAAAGGAACAGCTTCCCCTCATGAGTATTAAAAAATGTATAAATTCTTGTCACACAAAATGTAACTTTTGATAGATTAAAAAGTATAATTGTTATCTACGAATAGAATATGTATTCAAAATTAGAATTGTATATTACCCATTTATAAGTTGCAAAACATAACAGCGCTTGTTTATACCAGCTGCAATTTCGTATTTTAGGAATCGATTTTCCACGCTGCTTTTTGCACTGTATTCCGCCACGATCTCACGGGGATGATATGCATATTACATATTCATGAATACACACCACGTAGGTATTCACGTTGGCTATCCAATTATGAATCTTTAAATATGCAATGTCAAGAATGCTGCAGTTTTCCGTTATTTTTCACGCTCGTTAAGTTTTCGTAAAAAACGTATTTCGTGTCTGTCAAGAGAAATTTCGAAGAAAATGGAAACGGAGATAGAATTAAACAAATTGTAATTCTCGCGTTAGATTGCAATCTTAAGAATTCAACGCATCCAAATTAATTAATTAATTTAATTATTTCCAAAATTTATTATTATTCGTTATTACTTGTTAAAATTAATTTCTTCAGAGTTTTTTTGAGGTTTTCGAATCTTTAGATAAAATCTCGCATTATGGCGGTTGAAAATTTAAATCGATTAGCAGAGAATAACAGAGTGTTCGAGACTTTCTGTTCTGTCCGTTCATCTGGCGGCTGCAGTTGAGACAATTATTCTATTTAATTAATTCCCCCCCCCCTGGCTTTTCATTGACGAAGCTTGAGAAAATGATTAAAAAGGAGGACCGGGTTCGACGGAGCATGGAAAATGCGATAGGAAGGTTCGGTCGTTTTACTCACGTTGGTATCAAGAACACCGTTTCCATCTGTATCGTACAGCCGGAACATGACTGAAAGAAGAAGTAAAAAAAGCGTGAACGAATTAATGCACGTCGAAATTGGCATGCAACAAGTTGCAGCAAATGTGCAGACTCGAGCGCGCTGTTCACTGACGTAGGGGGACACGTTGGATGACTGACACAATGTGTTTGCAGGTTCTTCGGTTCTCTCACGTTTTATACAAAAAGAAAAAAAATACCTTTTCATTGTTTCAAAAGAGTTTGCACACGTTTTACATGGAGAAATACTTCTAGCGTTGATTCGGATATTTTCTGTAGCGACATAGAGACTTGTTCAGATTTCGTATTGACATTTAGAAAAGGAGCTAATTGTTACGATTAAATATGCTTTAGAAAGTATGACTTTGTGTACGATCTTACACAATAAATACTGTACAATCTTGTTCAGACAAACTTCAGGGTGTTCAGATGATGAATTTATTCGGAGTCTTTTTGACCAAATTGAATATGCCGGAGTACGAAACGATTTTGTAATTATAGTAGCAAGAAAATCACTTACACTCCAATTTATCTTCTGGTCGGCCAGCCTCGAGAAGTGAAAGATAACAGACGATATCCTTGAGACTGACTTTAACCGAGTGTACGTCTATCGTGCTCTGTTTCCTGACAAGATGTCTCATCTCTGTAAATCAAAGAGCCCACACGTTATGAAAATACATTACCACCGTATCGATATTACAATAAAAAAATGACATTATTAACGAATAAAGATGCTTCGACATACATTTCTTACGGAGGATGTTTCAAAACGAAAAGATGTCACCAAAGTCAGATAGAGAAGCATTTATGAACGACTACAATTGTGTACTAATTGTCTAACCATGCACGGGCCCTATTCTCCTTGTCTGATCATATACATACCCCATACTACTTGCCCCTCCATACGGGAGTCCTTTCTCCTCGTCTAATCACCCACAAAAGGACTCTATTTGTCTGGTCAAGAACGGACACTTTCTACTCTGGTCACATAGGTCTCTATTATACGTGTCTGACCATACACTATGCCCATTCTACTTGTTTCGACTAAGGATGGTCCCTATGCTACCTAATGACCATAAAACTGCTGCCAGTCCTTTCTTTCTAATTAAGTCCCCGTTCATTTTCATTGACTCGTTAGAAGTCCTATCTTTCTTTCAGATCCCATAAAGATAATATATTTCATTTTTCTGATCCCAGAGATATTGTCAAGTTCCGAGACCTGCCTGATTCCACTTTACCCATGACAATTATCTCCCATTTCACTTTTCCAGCCGAAAACGTTACTGCAATCCACACGTGTCAATGACTTCGAAGACTCTCACCGCGGTCCTTGCCCCGCCAAGTCCATCAATACACGAAAATACGTTCGTGAATCGGCAGATATTCCCCGACGAATTTCGCGGGAAAGTTGTCGTAACGTTTGTCCCGCGAGATCGAAACTGTCCGATCGTGAACTATTTTTAGTTCGGCGGGACCAAAGTGGTTCCTTGTCGGTTGTACTCCAAGTGCCGTCGTCGAAGAACCTGTTGCTTCGTCGAGGATTTAGGAGGCGAGTAACCGATGCATGCGCACCGGCGCCGGCTCTAATTATAACGATCAACCAACTGCACGCGCTAGTCCACCTTATAGACGATCTATAACGAATATTCTCGGAAGGATACTTCTAAGCGAATGCTCGATACGTTTGTATCTCTCAAAGATTTCACGAGCAATAGACGCTAGACATCGCGAACGTCTGCTCGGTCAGTTTTCCCTATACAGGGTGTCTCACCTAAAGTGAGCACCTTTATTATCTCACTTGCTTTGATTTGCAGAAAATTTATTTCACGAAATCTTCAATGTGATGTCCATCAACTTCGATACATTTATGCACTAATCCCTCTATAATTATTTCATTGTTTAAATTTATTCTCATACATTTGTGGATTTTTCGTACTGAAGGTCACACTATTATATGTCATTGGATTTGTTTTGAACTCAAAGTCTTGATCTCAACATCATTGAGCCTACATCATGTACAGAGTGTCCCACTAATTATGAAAATTGAATGTTTTCCATTGATATTGAATATTTAACAAAGTCTAGTGATCAACGCTGAAAGATGTGTACTTACTTTGTGACTGATTAAGTTTGTAATTGTATTTAATTATTATTCGATATAGGATCTTCTGGGGAGCAGATATCGTAAACACCGATATAATCGGTAAAATTTCCCCTCGTGGTACGACGATATCCAGATACACCGGGGCACAGAGCTCTCAAGAAGATAGAAGAGACGGAAGACGGATAAAAGCGGCCGGTCATGGGGGAAATAAAGCTAGCTGATCAATCGCGGTAGACGAACGATTTATCGTTAGTACGTGCGACAACGTTGAAACAAATTCACCGACTATTCTATTACTCTCTGGCGGTCCATTCTGTCCCCGTTTTGTGATTCCTACCGGCGGCAATGGCGACACTCGGATCGACGATAAAGTTCGTTCGTGCGGATGCAAAATGTACGCGACAGCAGTTCTTCTTGTATACATATTTTTTATTAACGCGTTGAGCATCTTTCCATAGACATGTGTGTAACAAATAGCAAACGAAGAAAAATTTTTCAACACGTGATTTTCATGAAATTTCACTTTTAAACAATACTTTCAATGTAACATTGTGAATACAAATAATTGTTATCTCAGAGTATAAATAAAGAATAGATATTTGCTGGTACGATAGATAGTTGCTCTGGAGAAGTGATAGCCTTCGATCGTGTTTCCGTGGTATCTTTTATCGAATAATATAAATTAACGTTTTACGTTAATTCTTTCTTAACCCTTTAATTACCGCTGTCGTCAATATACGATAAAGAAGAAACATTCTCGTATAGTGATATGAACAGTGATATAAAGTGTTAAAACGCAACATCGAACTATGTCCTGCACCGTCGGCCTCAACACTGCATTAATTTAATTAAAAAATTACAAACAGACCAAGGTACAGAACTAAATCTCCATTCAATTATCATTGTTCAGGGTATCGTACAAATTCCCTGAACCACTGTGCAATTTTCTAAAGAGGCAAACCACGATTTGTTTATTGGCCGATATCAAGGAACAACGTCGAACGAAAATCGGTTTAATTGAAAACATCTAGTTATTCGAGCGTTATCCTCCATACGGATTTCACTTGGTTCAATGGGATCGTTCGTTCGGGCGGGCGTCGATTAATCCTTGCCGCTTAAAAAAAATTCGTTCCTGGCAACGTTCCGTCCCCGTGACAGAAACAAATTCGAACGATGCACGCGGAGCAACTGACGCAAGAGCCACCGCGTCAGAGTGAAAATCCCTGACGTTCAATTTCGCGTTATAAATATGCGCGGGGAGGGTGGTACAGTTGTGTCTCGAACGACGAAATTTCTATTAATAACCGGCCACTGTTGGACCGCCTCTCGCGGTGACAATGAGACCCGAATGACGGAAGTCTTCTCTCGTGAGCGCTACGTGGCGGACTCTGATACGTGGAATCGTGAGACGGTTTTGAATTAAAATAACCCTACTTCAAATTATTCCAAATCTCCCAAGTTTTCATTCGATAACATATCTAGATACGATCTAATAGATCTCGAGAAATGTCTTCCTACAGCTCACCTTCTTTCAGAAACAGACCAGAAACATTCGGCAACCATAGTAGATCGTTTTTTAGCACCATTTGGCTGGCGTAGGTCGAAGAGTCACGGTCAGAATTCGAAATCGTTCTACTTGAGATGTCCGGAAGACGGGGCGTGACAGGACCGGATGGAAGTGACAGGGTGCACTGACGTCGATCGTCTGGTGGATCGCGATCGGCGATCGTCGCTCGGTCACGAGAGAGGGGTTGGCACTTGTTGCTTCCCGCGTGACTCGACCGATACTGAGGGAACGTGGCCGGGAGAGCTCGCTGCGAGAAGGGTTCTGATGTACTAAGCATGCCGTTATTTATACCGAATGATACCGGCCACTCGCGTTATTTCGGGGATCGAACGAACACGCAGGCTCGTCGTGAAAGCGGGACAATTGAACGTAGCCGGCGTCGGTGGTTTTGAACGATCGAGGAAATCCGGAGAATTTTCCCGAAGATAATACTTGGGGAAAGATCGGTTGAGTATAACGAAAATTATTTCGGTTTGAAAGGTTTTCTGTAAAGGGAAAATTGTCGTGGGATTTGCTTTGACTGCTAGATTGTCTAGTATAATATTGTTACTAGTGAGAAGCTTTGTTTAGTAAAATGAAAATTGTATAAATTAAAATATATTACAGTGTTCGTGCTTCTGACTTCATTGAATTTCGAGGACTTTAATCACATTTGTTTCATTTTATATGTTAGTACGAATAATAATTGTATGATATGTCACCAAAATGCATGCTTTCATGAATTTACAATTTCTTATTTCCTCTGTTCCTTCAATATTTGAGAAATATTCTCTTGTGCAATAAGTCAGCAAGGTATCGATCCACGATTTCGTCATTTAAAACGCAAAATCTCGTCTCCAGTCTAAACAACCCCACGAATAACCGATACGCGATATTCTCAAACTACTTCCTGGTGTCGTGACATTTAGGAAAGATCAAGATATCATTTCAGAAATGGTAAGTTTACACGTCTCCCGATTCTACCGATTCGCGAATATTTAGTCTGCTCGACCTCTGATAAACACTTTCACCGAAATGTTTCTCTGTCTTCCAATTAAACATTCTGGTTTATTTTTAGAGTTAAATGTCATTCCTTGTAGACACTATTTAACGATTACTGTCTACTTAAAATGGGTGTTGCATCAATGCAACACTTGGACGTTAAGTAAAGGGTTAAACAAAATAGATAATAACTGTACAGTTATTTCTCTACTCTTAATCCAAAATGAACATTGCAAGCTAAGAAGCGATTAATTCTAGGACAGCGATACTTAGGTCTATTTCGACCCAGGATTTTGGTAATTTCACACACCATTCCAGATTACAGAAACTAACTAAATCGTACAATTGTTTATACTAGTATTTTACAAGAAACTATTATCCAGAAATTTCTTTCAAAACACATCTAAAACCATCGGTATACCCGGAATAGGAGTCGTTCCGGACCCAGGTATCCTTGCCTGTTCAATTATTAAAAACATTTTCCCGACGAGGGTTAAATAATCGCATAAACATCAAATATACAGCAAGGATAAAATTTTCCGCGCGAAGAAAATTCACAAGATTAACCGCCCGGCGGCTCTCGAACTGCACTTGCGCAATTTTACGATCGTTGAACTTCGTTTTCCCCGAGTAATAACGTCGTCGTCTGTGTTTTATGAATAACCAAGCCCTCTCCACCACGGAACGAGCAGTCTTCGTCGGCGACGCGACGGTTCGAGGTGGGACACGACGAGTAAAACAGGACCACCGATTACGGGGGCTCGTATTTTTTCGATTCACCGCCGACTGTCGGTCGCCGTGTGCCACGACGAAGTGTGCACTTCCGGTCGGGATGACGTCCCGTCGTTACCCCCTCGTCCGCGTCATAATTTAACCGCGTTTACGAGGCCCGTAGACATTCCGCGAATAATGCATCGGCGTAAAAACGAACGTCGGCCAGAATCTATTCCCTTATCATTTCGGACGTAATGCGATTCCCCCGACAGAGAAGATTCCGAGGCGTTCTACCCGGCGGCGCGCCCATAAATTTCACTGTCCGGCGAAAGGGTACACGCCCTGCCTGTTCCATCGACGGTATTTCCCTTTTCCGTTTTAATGACGGGAAAGTGAACAAATTTTATTTTTATTTTCTGCGTGAAATACCAACAAAACGTATGAACAAACGTATGAGAACATTACCCCACTTCAACTAGGAAATTGTATAGCATCTATTCGATTAATTGGACTTTGCTCTACTTGATCACATATTCCTGGAAATTCGATTTTTATGGAATTTGATTTTTTATTTTTTTACCAAGCAAGTCTAATGAATAATAAGAACTTCGAGACACGATTTGAATTTTCCCATTTGGAGGAGGATTCAAAATCCTTGAATCGGGCGTACTATAGTCCGTGGATTTCAGGACATCGGTTTTCTAAAAGTCAATTCATTCTCCCTCGATCTCGTTCTGCGTTCGCTTGTCGACTCCAGAACGTAATCGTTGAAGGAACTGTCTTCGTAACGTGAACAAATGAATTTTTATCCGACGTTTTTTATGCGGTCCTACGTGACTGGGGGCGGGGGGAAAAAAAAATCGATTAGGGCATCATCGAGCTACCATAGACGCGTCCATTAAGTCGTACATGTTCCCCGGACATTTTACGGCGGCCAGCTATTCGCTTTATGGCGTCGATTTGTTTGCCAACGTGTATGTCGCGTCTCATCATAAAAGAATTCTATGGCGATCATAAAGCGTACCACCCCCCGGTTACGATCATCCCGCGATCCCGTTGTTTATCCCGCGTACGATAGTCTATCCGTCCTGGCAGTTATGCGTTGCCCCTCGGTGCTTTGGATATTTTCGATCCACGTCGAGCATGGTTTTGCTGTCAGCTAGCTCGAAATTACGGAAATACAGCGACAAGTTTCATCTACAAACAACGGCAGGTGACTAAACAATAATGGTACATCGACGAATCTTTTACAATCCCATTAAGTTACCACGTAAATCATATTGACATGTTACAAAAAGAAGGTCATATCGAAAAGAAACGAGAAGCCATTTCGGTCCACTCAAGAAAATGTTACGATTAGACTGATTATCTAGGAGAAGTACTAAAAGTGGAGTGATCTTGAAGAAACCACGTTTGGTTCGGACTTCGTTCAAGTTTGTAGTTACGATAAGAAAAAGACACCTTTTACGTTCTCTCATTCAGGTTTACGACTTCGAACTACCGTGAAATCTGATTTGTTACTCTTTTCCGTCCTCGTTTGTACAACAATCAGACGGTTCCCACGATCGTAACGTTCACCTTTAAAACGTCAATCCATGCGAAAGATGTCACACTTCTCGAGAGAAGGTTCGCCAAAGAAGAGAATTCCCATTTCGACGGTCCTCAAATTGATAGGTTCGATCGCGGTCGTATAAAAAAACGTCCTCGAAGTTCAGTCACGGATCCTTTACCCAAAAAAGACGAACGACTACGGGGGTAGTTTCGATCGATTTCGGCGACGTTTCGTCGACAAACAAAAAAAAAGAGAAAAAAACTAAAAGAATCCTGGGACCGTGTGTACACGTAGAGCTACCCACCTTCTAATTTCCCGTTGTTGACGAGCAACGAATTGTTCGACTTCCTCGACGAGTTCCGCGACATTTGGCTGTGGCTCGGGCTGCTGTCGGTGCTCTTCTTCTCGATGACGTCGTGGCAGCTGTACGACGTGTGCTGTATCGTCAGTATGGGATGTACGCTTCCTTGGAAAGCCCCCCGAGAGCGAAACAAAAGGGATATTAGGAGCGAAGCGATCGGGTGACCGAAAATGGACAACCGGACGGCCTTGATTTATCGCGGTTGCGACTCTCTCTCGATTCACGGACTAATGGACGCTTTGGGGTGGGGGGATGTTCATCAAGATTTAGACTTCCTTTGTCTCCCCCCCCCCCCATTCCCTCTGATTACGATCAATCAGATAGGGTTGGTAATCCGATACCGCGATCTCTCATCGTCTTGGGGATCACGATATCGTGGACATTTTCCGACGGAGTAGAGAAGATTGACCGATAATACGGAATTTTATGTTATTAACGAAGACGTATATTCGAGTTTAACACGTTCGTTGGCGTGATTTAGCGTTGATATTGTTTGTCCATGAACGCTTAACGATGCACGGAAGAACCTTTATACGGACGAGGAAGACACATTATTATTCTCTATCTGTAATGTTCCAGGCCTGACGAGAACCGGAGTACCGATTGTTACTCCCGGCAGTTCGACCCCACTTGCCTTTGTTTACCGCGCTCGAGAGCATTACAAAGGAAACGGGCGGGAATGGTCGAGAACTTATTTTTAACGAAGAGTCGCACAATGTCCAGCGAAATCGTGCGTTCTTCGTTCTTTCTCCCCTTTTTTTTTGTTGCAGATCCGTGGCGTCGATTACTATTCACTGCAGCGGAACAATGGGTCGTCTTTGATGCATCGTCCACCCGGACGAATAAAAATTGACACGCAAACGGATGGAAATCGTCCAACGAAAGTCGCGAACTCGGATAAATTGGTGACGATATTAATTCGTCCAAGAACTACGTACTGTTATTATCAGAGACGTGCGAATTTATCAAAAGTTTCGACTAAAAGATAAAAAAGTATTTCGTCACTTTCAATCGTTTAAACATGGAAATTTCAACTTTTATAATTAAATAATACTTTTTCTTGAATGAGTCGACATTTGGCGAAGAGTTATTTAATCTCATTGACTGTCCAAAGCTCAGGATGTCGCTCTTAGGTACTGTTCACTATGTATTATTCGAATAAATTTGTGCCCAACTCTGGTTATCGCTCATTGATATGTTTAAAAATAATATAAAACTCATTTGATCTTCTATTCACGGTCCATCCAAAATAGGGTTGAAATGTTATAAGAAGTACCTTCAAGTATCAATTTCCTGGTCCACGGCATATAATAATTCGCATACATAGAATGAAAAAAGAAATATTCCCTAACCGCGTAAATTGATATCCAGTGAAACCGGAATCACGTGGAAAGAAGTACCAGCTAGATCGAGGGACAGGTGTATAAAACACTTTTTTGGGTCTTCAGTGCCTCCAGAGGTGTCGTTCTGGGGTAAATATCCATTACACTAGAAGATCGGGTCAGATACACCGAAAGTAAACGAGATAAGAGACCCCCCGGCAGACTTCGTTACCGCTAAATCGGGGTGAAGTCGTAGCGCTAATCCGAACCCGCCACAATTCTGCGACGCTTCCGGCAATAGAACGATCGAAATAATTGAACTACCTGTACGAGCCCTGGTGGACGCTTCGCTGTCCGTTCTATGGTGTCCCAGTGCTTGCAGCTTCTCCGTGAGACCGTGAATTTTGTCGGCGAAGTAGGAACCATGGCTGTCCGTCGACGTTCCACCCGGAAGACCTGTGCTGTTCACGTTGCTGCTGGACGTTGTGTGGGACGTGATCGCGGCACAGGCGGTTGTCGAAGACAGCACGGCCATCTCCTGATTCACAACACGAGCAGTAACATTATTGTCACGTTAACCCTTCGATTCCCAAATTATTTACAAATTACCAAAGAAGTATTTTGTCCTGCCTCTCTGTATATTAGATGACATATAAATGATTCACATGGACATTTTAACATTTTAGACTGCAGATTTATGTGCAAAATCACATTATAGAAGCTACGTATTAATAAACTATTCAATTGTCAATGCTTCTTGATAAAGAACACGTAAGTTTCCTAGGTAAATGAGATTTAGTAAACGAATTGTTAGGATGCGTTATTCAGGGGTGATTTATTGATTCAAGACTGCGATCTGCTAGTGGGATCATCAGATAAGTAGAACAGGCCAACAAAGACCGTTGTGGTCATGCAAGTAGAACAAAACCACATTGATCAAACATCTAGTAGAATACCTCTGTTCATGCACTGACAAGCAGAACAATACTGCCATGGTTTTGTGCATAGAATTAGACTATCGTGATCGGGCGAGTAGAATAAGATTGTAATGGTCAGACAAACGGAAGAGACGCGGTGGAAGCGCAAAATCCGTGAATTGTGTGATTGATCGCTGCACGAACATCACGCTCGTCTACGGATTAAATGGAGAGTGACAGATGAATATACCTTGAAAGCTTTCCCGTCGACTCCACGCGGCGCCCTTTTGACGAATGAAAGGAAAAGATGCCGCGAAAGCTCGTCCGGGGTCGCGACCTCGAGATAGGTATCCAGGAATTTACGAAATCCCTCATAGTCGATGTCCTGGAAAAAGAATTGTACATAATTAATATTATGACTTGATATGATAACGATTGAATACCTTCCTAGGAAACTAGGATACGAGCAATAAAGACAAATTTTATACTGATATTTCTTCCATCAATTTAACGATGCAATAATAGAACGTTTCTTGCCCGGAGCTCATGATAATGCAATTCATCGATTTCCATGGGGCAAGATGAATGCATTAACCAGATAATAGCAGTAGCCATCTTGTAATCAGTAATGCCGAACAGTTTGCTCGGTCTACCCACATCGGATCACCGCCTATTGTACGCGGATTATCCGGTGATCTAAATCTTGTTAACGCGAAAGCTTTCCACACACATGAGGGACACACACGGTGTTCTTGGACAGAATGAAATTTCGTTTCACGTTCTGAATCACCGTGCGAGATATTCATCTAAAAATAATTACAATTCTAGCGAGCAGAAAATAATGATTTATTATTCAATGTAGGGTACACGCACCAATGAATGAACACTTAAGAGACTTTGTAACCATTAAAGTTGAATTTTAAATAATAATAGTTTTAATAAATATTTGGCACATGAAAATTAGATTTTTTAATACCTTTACCTTTTTATAAATGAACATTTTTAAGGAATTGAATTGTTCGATTTCTAAGGAATTGCTTATTTTAATAACTTAATTTACTTGTTCTTATATATAATGTTCATTCACTAGTAGATCCACCCTATATGAAATAATAAATTTTTTGTTCTAGGGGAAAAGCGAGCACTTCTATTTCTCGATGATTCTCAGCATTTAAATTAAGTTTCACCGAGGCTCAGGTGAAAGTTCCTCGAGCACCTGTTTAAGGAACTTATTGCTTTAATTGGTTCGATATTACTCCCAGCGGAAGCCTACCTGTTGATCGACTTCTTGGAACATTGTAACACCGAGAAAGCTAATGGTACTAATAAAATAACAATCAATGGAAGTAACATGAAGAAGTTTTTGTTATTTACGCTCGACAAATATCTCTCGTGTTTCGAGTTTATTACGTGTTCGCGGACGTGTAAACACTCCTTCGTCGAGAGCACCGCGTCGTTGTTAATTAATTGCCTCTCCACGCGTAACCGTCTCGCTTCGCACGCACGCACGCACACGCCACGCTATTATCACAATCGATAATCATAAACATCTTTAAGCGAATTCACGCGAAATTAATTAATTGTGCCGTTCATTAGCTGTCTCGTAAATATCAATTAAAGTCAGCGCGAGGTGTTGTGCCTCGAGCGCAGTATAATGAAATATCTTGCTGCTGCTTCGTTGATTACTTAATTGACAAATATTACGGTGCCTTTATTCCCATAGGTAAATTCTCACAAAAGATATTACCTTCATAGCATATAAGTTCAATTTTTATTTAAATTTAAATTCAAAACTATCTTGTTTAATACAGAACAGTTCTATCGGTATACCATACTGTAGGATTATAACTACAGTAAATCATCGATGAGTGTTCGAAGGTTCCTCAACAGTGAATGTTCAGACGTCATCTCCACCTGGGACGTCCCCCGTAGAACCAGTCAAGTGTGCAGTGGTGGGGATGACGTCTGAACACTCAGTAGCGAGGAGCCTTTGGACACTCAACGATAATTTACTGTCTTCCATCACTAACGTCAAATTACGTACTCTAAGCACACATTTTACACAAAACTTACATTTCAAGGAAACATTATCGCCTCACTAGGCCACAGAATACAAAGCACATTGTTCTTTAATACAACGAAACCAGATCAAACAACTCCGACGCATCCGTTCCGACACTCGCGTCGTCGTCGCGCGTACAAGGTACCATTGAAACAAAAACAAAAAAAAAAGATACACTAGCGGCCAATCGTCAATTCAATGCGTGCGTTCTCTAATTGGGCGCAAAGTTAATGAGGAAACGAGCCGGGCTGCGAGTCGCTAACGACCAACCCAGTTTCGCGTTTTATTTGAAGAACGACTCCGTTCGCGGACGACATTTATCGATGTTCCTTCCCCCGCAGCTCGAGGACGAATGAGGCGTTGCCGTTTACCTTTTCTGCTCTCTCTTTCGACCTCTGCCCGTTCTTTCGCTCCAGCGACAAAGGCGTGGGGCACCTTTACAAGTCGAAAGAGTGCAGTTGCCTGGCCGGCTAGCAAGCTGATAGCCGAACACAGGTCCCGAGGCGCGGGATTACCACAAAAGGAGCAATTCCCCGACTTTATTGCACCTGGACCACCGGATACGAAAAGCTGCACGCGCCCGTACGTGCACGAACCATTTCGCCGTCAAGAATCGGCCCAGCGATCTTCCTTCCCCCTTAGTAAACGCTGTAAAAAGCCGGGCGTCGCACAGTGGTATAGAAAAATAAAAGTCCATTTGTAAAGGTTTTGGGGAAATGAGTGATTTAATTGTTTAGAAAGAAATAATAATAAAAATACTATTAATGTAATATTTTAATGTTCCGAAATTCCCATTTTCACACCCCAATTAAGCTTCTGAACTCCGAAATCGGCGTTCTGGACCACTGTACGTCGGTCCGTCTCAAGACTAGCACCCCAAAGGAGCTCGCGTCTAATCGCGACCAATCGCAGTCCCGTGCTCGTCGTAAATTTTACGAGTACACACACACGGAAACCGGTTGTTCCCTTCGAGAAGTGTTCCTGTCGTTTCATGAAACGGTGCTTGATCCGTTCTTGGGGAGGGGGGATGATCCGCTAGTGTTCTCGATTCTTCTACGCGCAGGGAAGAGGTTTAACCCGTTGAGCTGACCTTTCTTTTATGGTTTTATGGGGCACGATGCAGTGGGATTTTTATTGTTGTACGCGTATCACTGTGTTCGGCGTAAGTGAGTGATATTATGTTACCGAACGTGGTCAATTACCAACGTTGCACAAGTAAAACGGCCGAATCGAGGCCCCTCGTAACTTCAGCTGATTGTGCCCGGTGTTACGGTTTACGGCCGTGATAAACGGCTGTGTTCTTAGCGACTGTTTCAAAAGGTCGCGCCCGATTGTAACGAGTCTATTCAAGTTTAGGGGTGGTAGAAAAAAAAAGGGAAAAATCGAATTGTTCCTCTGTATGGAACCGTCGAGTTTGATTGCGTTCGACGAAACGATGTTGTTTGGCTAAACGAATGAACGGTTCGATTGAAAGGATGAAAGAAATATTTGTAAAATCGAGCTTTCATCGATTGCTACAAGCCTTCCCCTTTTCCAAACTTTCGTGATAATTCGATTACGTTTTTCTGTGATTTGAAGTGAAAATTACCAAACTCTTTCAGATGATAAATGAATAAATAAACAATTAAAATATCGATTTCATACAAGTTTCTAAGTCCAGTGGAGATTATTAAATGATCACAGGTCAAATACACGTGTGAAAAGATAGACCACTTCCCCTTAACAATCTTCCTAAGTCTGCTTTTCACTGCTCTCCGTTTACTCATTTTCGAAATCTTTCTAATTCGTTTACTAATTATTTACACTGCACTCCAGAAAACTACGATATCGATACGATTCTATTATGACAGTTCCAACAAAAAAACATACCCTAACAATACCTCACTTAATCGTGTCAATAAACAACCGTCGACCTCCACCTGATCCCTCTCACGCAGTCTCCATCGCTGTATTTACCATCCGTTTCAGGGTCCAGACACGTCACAGGCGTTTAGGGGACGCGGAAAAATCGTTATTGACCATTTTTTGTTCGTCCTCGGGCGCATTAACGGGGCAATGAGTCAATTTTACGACAGGCAAACGTGACATTTGAAAATACCCCTCCGCCTCTCTTTTCCACCCTCTCCGCGCACACTCGTGCTGGTACAATCGAGCCGCAAGTATCCTTTTTCCTCTTTGACCTATATATCCGGCAGCAGTCTTATCGGGGTTATGACGACCTCACGATGATGTCATCGGCCCGCTCTGACGTCACCAGCGCTCCCTTACGTGACCATTGAGAACGACCCGGTTTCTATCTCCCCTCGAACAAACCCCCCTCCCTTCCTCTGAGTGCCGCCCGTTCACGGAGCCCCACGGTCCGTCCCTTCCCAAAGCTTAATGGCCGTGTCCTGTCTCATTCATGCGGATATTCCTTCGAGCAACGGGCCTGACCCAGTTTCCCTGGGAACGGTCGTACAATCCCCGTCGACTATAACACCGCGCGACGACACTTTATTCGCGAAACGTATCCCCGTGGTTCGATTCCAGAACCCTTCTCTAGCTCAGTGTTTCCCCTCTACTTCCAAGGATTCTCCGGTTTCGATTCGTCGACCAACACCTTCGCCGTGTACCGTTTTCTCTCGATATTCGACACGTCTTTCGAGTTTATCGTCCAGTTCCTTCGATTAGAATTTTATTCGGAAGACGTTCAAACGATCCTTGGGAGATTTCGTGTTATTGTTTGGTGGCTCGTGTAGTTGGTAAATAGATATTTTTATTGTTAGGACACCGAATTTATTCTATGTTGATGGGTTGTTCTTCAGTTTAGTTTTACTGATTGTAGTTTAACAGTGACTCGAAAATGGAACATCTCAGATGTGGAAAGATGTAGATTAGGTTGGTGTGATAAGTGTCTGACTATGTACGAACTGATTCTACTTATCAATCCAACAAGTAATTTCTTTGATGTTCGTGGAAGAGAAACTGGAAGTTGTAATTGAAATTTTAACAGGAAGATAGCAAAATGTAGAAAATGAGGGAAAATATGTATATACAGAGAGAAAATTAATAGTTTCAATTACGTTTTTATACTTCAACCTCTACAAAGATAAAAGAAAATTTGCATTACTTATAGGATATGTTCCAGTAACATAAAATAAGAGAAAAACTACATTTTTTTGGCTTCTTCCTCTAACACGACGTTCATAGTCGCAGACTATGTTTAAACAAATAAAAAAACAGACTGTTTAAACAAATAGAAAATATCGTATTTTTACTTCGTACCGTATGGACAGCATTATTTCAGACCAGAATTTCAAGAAACTTCTTTTATTCCACCAGTC